ACTTTTAGATTGTGCACGACGAGAACGTGGACTGCCCTTTTAAGGCAATGTGACGTCACTGCCAGGGCTTAAAAGGATGTCACATTGCCTTAAAAGGGCAGTCCACGTTATCGTCGTGCAGAATCTAAAAGTCCCTAATACCCACACGTCGCGTCTTCTTTAAAAACTGTATTTTGGAACCCCGAGGGTGAATTAATTTATTCAATTCTAAACTTAAGAATATAGGGACACACTAAATAAATACGATAAAAGAGAGAGGTGAATTCATCTTTTATAATTACATTTTTTTTTAAATAGTCGGTGATAATAGTCAAATTTGATGATTGCTTTATAACGTTGAAATCAACAACAACCACATTTTTTTTCCTTTGGGGGGGGGGGGTTAATGGTCAAGTCTAACTTATTTTGTCTCATACGTCATCAACCACATCAAAGATTTGAGAATATCTTAGTTGACTAAATTCATAACTTGGGAATATCATGGATCATGATTCTTTCGATGTTAATCATGTTAAGAATTCTAAGATACTTGGTAAAGTGCGGAACCGACAAGACTAGATACCTTAGAATTGCCCTCATACAACGATGAATATTTTTTTTTTTAAACCACAGAAACTATCTATTTGTGTAAACTTATTTCATTTTTTTTGCAGGACCGTGACACGTGCATTCACTGGGAGTGCTTTTGTGATGGTTCTCCAAAATCAGCAAGTTACATAATGTGTAAGCGCTATCATGAAGCCCAAGTCACACCAGAGCAGGCGCGTACACAGGGGGGGGGGGGGGGGGGAGTTTGGGGGTTAACCCCCACCCCCTTTGGTATTTTTTTTATTTTTTTATTATTATTTTTAAAAAAAAATTATCCCATGGCTGACCTAAAAAGTTGACCTTACCCCCCCCCCCAACGGAGCCAAATGTCAAATTTTCAAAATTTCGAGACAAAAAAAAGGGTTCTCTACCCCCCCCCCCCCCCCCCCCTGAAAAAATCCTGCGTACGCGCCTGCACCAGAGATACGACCGGTTGTCGACAACTGATAACCACTGGTCAGGAGTTAGTTGTCAGAGGTCGCAGAGAGGCTTTGTCAGTCTTTAAAAGGTTTTCAGTGGTCTCCGGAATATTTTGGTCGACTAGGGTTTTTTACGCTGCTGCATGCTGCTCCGATGGTTGCCGACTTTTTTCGGGTCATATTCGATTGAGAGAAGGTCGCCCTTGATTTACGCATGATGTACGATCAGTTACCGATTAACATTTGCCGAACATCAACAACCAGGAAGCAATTCAATCATTACGTTTGACAATTCGTTTGTCGTCTTTACTGCTGGTTCACAAATTCAGTTTGTTTTATGATTTTCCATCGAAAGAAAAGAGGAAATATAAAGAAGGAAAATAATTGCAATCAGTATATCAACTTCATTTTATGTCAAGAGTTGAAAGTAATTTAGGCCTTTAATCAATCTTGAAAAATATATTTAGAACAGAATTAAATTAAAACATATACGGTAAAGGCAGGGGCGGCGATCCCGGAGGACTTTTTTTTCGTCCCCCCCCTGAAAAATTGAAAAAGTGAGAAAAAAAGTGTATAGCAAATACTGACTAAAGACTGCAACAAACCTTTAGGCTCTGGAGGGCCCTAGAGTGCAGCGTTTAGACAAATAAAAATGCAAAAATCTTCTCGCTCCGGAGCTACGTTTCCTCCCATAATATTCTTCGAAGTGTACAGTAAATATTCTAGAAAAGTGAAGTGTGAAAACGGTATATTGCTTGTTTTATACTATTCTTTTGCTAATTAAAGTATGTAATGTGTTAATACAACAAAACTTCAAAAACCTGTGAGGGGATAGTCACTTCCGTAACCTCTACCCCTCTCGTTCACTTTGCTCCCTCGCCTTGGCGTAATGATGAAGGGGGGGTCTTGGGGGCAGTTGCCCCCTTAATAAAATTCAAACTTGATTTATTTCTAACTCGATACCAGTGATTTACAAATGTTGCTGAAATTGCATGGTTTTTCCCTGAGCTTCTGGGGGCTCTGCCCCCTGGACCCCACCAAGGGCCCTATGGCTGGCCCCTGTTTGCTCATCTGACCGTGAATGAATGCGTCAAACCCTGAGCTTCCGGGGGGTCTGCCCCTAGACCCCACCAGGGGCTCTAAGACGAGCCCCTGGATGCTCATCTGACCGTTATTAAATGCCTAAAACCCCTGAGCTTCATGGGCCTACGCCCCTGGACCACACGCCAATTTACGCTCCACTTGTTAGAGTGGGGATGCGGATTCCCCCCCCCCCCCAACGTTTTTTTTCAATATACGCCACTGCTCCCCCGTCCCTCGCATTTCGTCCCCCCCCCCCCCCCCCCCCGGTCATGAAAAGAAATCGCCGCCCCTGGGTAAAGGACACCCTTAGAAGCAAATTGCTTGTGGTGTTTATTAACAAACTGTCTTAAATTGTTGGTTTACCGTTTATATCATGTAGATTTTAAAAGTCAACGAAAGAAACGGATTTCCTGTGTACATTGCATTGTGTATTAGACTTAATGGGGTGTATTTTATAGCGGATGTGGGAGAGATTGTGGATGTGTGGTGTGCGTGTGTTTGTGTTTGTGCGGATGCGGGAGGGGCGTGTGTGATATTAGTACAGATTTTGTGATAAAACTGCCAATGGGGAATTGATACCAGACACACAAAATAGTTTATAAACGTGTGAATGTTAGTGTTAGTATTCCAGCAAGAAGAAGGAAATGTTAAAAAAGAAGAATATGAAACAACATGCCCTCATATTCTTCGAACGAATTAATACAAAGTTTAGCCCTCTCCTCATTAGTGAGCACGAAACTATAATGATATTAACATTTATAACAAAAACTAATAATGATTAACATGTTTTCACTTTAGATTTAATTACTCAACGCCTCTCTCACACGTGATGTACGTGTATCAATCATGCCCACTTATCAAGTAAATTTAGTACAGTCTCTCTCGTTTGAGTGAGCTGTATCTCGAAGAAGCTATATATACCCTGTTACCAACGTAGGTGGTGAAGAATACTGGAAGCTTTGTCGACTTACATGGACGTTTTCAAATTTAAGAGGGTAAGATATTTTTTTTTTTTTTTTTTTTTAAATATATTTGTTTTATTCCCTGGCCAACTTTGGATCGTTATTTTCAATTTTCTAAACCCGGACGTATTACTTCCACAGTTTAAAATTTTACAATACCACTTCTTTGGTGAAAATTTTAACAAATTCCCATTCTTTTTTAACCATTAGATTTAATAACGATCATGATGATAAATTGCTATACACTTCTTGTTTTTAATATTCTGGATTGGGTGTGGCTTTTAGCTCACGTTTCGATTTCTTTTATCGACTACAATGATTTATTCTTTACAAAAAAATAAGAAGAAAAGGTCATTGTAAATGAATGCACAAGTAGATGTACATGTACATGTAGATGTACATGTACAAAAAATACATTGACACATACATGTACAAAGAAGATTTAACGAATAGTCGGGCGACAAATTAAAATATATTCTTATTACAAGTGCTGAACCTTTGTACAAGAATACAATTTACTACTGTATCAGTGAGCAAGAGCAAACAAGGCAAGTCTTATGTAGCCCAATCATCTGTCTATTTTTTAATAAATATTCCTTTCGTATAAGATGTCATTGGATTTACACAATTTGAAGACATTATAAAAGCAAATTTCAAAGTTAGTTTCGCACTTCTTGTTACTTTCAGCTTTTTTTTCCAACATGGCTCGAATGAGGTTGATCCCGCTACTAGTCCTACTGTATCTTCTCATTTTGACCGCGACTGAAGAGATGTCATCTCAACACCATGGTCTTCAACTCCCACGTTTGGCGCTCTCTCGCTGTTCCCAAGGTCCTCACAAAAGGAAAATCTCCTGCACCAGAATGGCACTCAAGGAAGTTCCCCAGGATCTTTATCCAGGAGTTGAAGAACTAGACCTTTCATTAAATAGTCTCCGGTCCCTGTTCAACTCCTCGTTCACTAGATACCAACGAATTAAGAAACTGACTATCACTTATAATAGTTTAAGGGAGATAGCTACTGGCAGTTTGTATACCATGCCAATGCTGCAGTACCTGGATCTTAGCAATAATTGGTCGTTTAAATCTATTACATCTCAAATGTTTAAGCTTAGTATAAACTTATCCCATCTTCTTGCGTCAACACGTTTGGAATCTGTCCCCGGTGACATATTAAGATGGCTTCCACACTTAAGGTTATTAGATCTACGTAATGTTGACATCTCACACATTAACGTCACTTCTTGTAGTTCAAAAACTCGCAATCTGAATATAATTTTTGACAAAAGTAAAATTAAAGCGTTTGCATCTAACACATTCAGAATAGATTGCGAATTGAATTTGCTCAGTCACCGAGCGATTGGCTACACTTCCATTGACCCTCAAACCATAGCAGCAATACGATCCCGAGTTCTCTCATTTCCCAATTATGGACTGAGGCCAGATCTGTGGAACCTATTCTTTAAAGGCATTGGAAGGTCTGCTATTGAGGAGCTTCTTTTACATAACACGAGGATAGGGGAGATCGACCAGCACCATTTCGAGCTGTTACGAAACAAACCGCTCCAGGTTCTCGATGTTTCTGATAATGACCTGCCCGATCTTAAACAAATGGGATTTTTAGATTTACCCCTAGTTTTTACTCTTATAATAGACAGGTGTGGCATTAAAAATATAGATCCAGCACATTTTGCCAGAATGAAAGGCCTACGTGTTCTACATCTGAATCATAGCCATATTTCTACTTGGAATGTTGACTTACGCGAATTGTATCTCGCTTTCAACTCTCTATACCATATCGATGAAAAAACTTTTGAAGGATTAACAAATTTGACGAAATTGGTCTTGAGAGGAAATAGTGATTTATCATATTTGAAGATTACAGCTTTCACAAATTATAGGAACCTTATGTACTTAGACTTATCAGGATGCTGGTTAATGGCTGTATATGGAGATTTTCCAAATCTCGAAACGTTTGTCTACAGTGATTGTAAAGAACAGGAGTCGCCATACCTTATCAAAAACATTTTTAGTCACACTAAGTCACTTAAACATGTGATGATGGGAAATGCCAGCTTGAACACATTATGGATTCCATTTGAAAGGAATAACACTTCACTGTTTGGAGGAATGACAAATGTTATCACCATTGATTTAAAGAAAAACCCATTGAAACGGTTGGAGTCATGGATATTGACCGATCTGTTGTTGCTACAAGAGTTAGATCTGAGTGACTGTCAACTCACCGAGATTGAGGTGAATGCATTTGAAGGTCTGCAAAGTCTGCAGATTTTACACCTAGAAGGTAATCAGTTACTCAACCTTCCACCTGGGGCACTTTTTAATATGGCACATCTAATGACTGTTAACTTGGAGGGCAACAAATTGAAGTATCTTGATAGAGATCTCTTTTCTAATTCATCAAGACTTCGAAATCTGACACTGGCTAGAAATCAACTCACCGGATTAAACCACAGTACGTTTGAGCCAATATTAAATACCCTCTCGTCCATTGATATTTCAGAAAACGAGATTGCTTGTACTTGTAATTTAAAATGGCTTCCGATATGGTTGTCCGGGTCTATCACAATTTTGAATGAAATTGACACTTGGTGTTCCTCTGCCTCACTGGAAGAACTGCAAGAAAAGCCACTGATGTCATTTAAACCAGCGAAATTATGTGGCCCAAACATCGCTCTCTACTGTTCACTTCCTATTGTAATCACATGGATTATCATGGTATTGGTCTTTGCCTACCGTCATCGATGGTTCTTGAGATACAAACTATTCCTCCTGAAACTGGCAGTCATAGGCTATCGGGAGATCCGAGATGCTAGAGATTTTGACGATTATGAATTTCATTTGAACGTGATGTTTGCAGAGGAGGACGAAGGGTGGGTAAGAGATCGCCTCCGTCCAGTCTTAGAAGAACTGCTGCCGGAATGCAATAGGAATGTGTACGGCGATAATGACCTTCCGTTAGGTATGCATTACTATAATGCAGTTCATTACGTCGTTGAGATGAGCTACAAAACCATCGTGTTGGTCAGTAGGGCTGCTATCCAGGATAACTGGTTCGTCATCCAATTTCGGACCGCTGCGGATCAGGTCAATGACACACAAATAGAGAACATGGTGGTGATCTTCCTGGAGGACATTCCAGATGATGAGCTTCCATTCTTAGTGAGGCTGTACCTGAGTGATCGTAAACCATACCTCAGCTGGGAGGAGGAGGAGGAGAGGTTTCAAGAGTACTTCTGGCAGAAGCTGATCAAGATGTTGAAGATGAATCTGAGGTGCAACAATGTTATTCCTCCTGAGTAACTGAATGTGAGCATGTATATCCATGATGTAAGTAATGTTATAATGAATGTCATAATGCCAGTGACTCTCTGTCGTGATTATGCATTTGACTTAGAAGCAAAGTTAAGATTTAAAAAAGAGAATGTATCAGTTTTGTGGGACATTTTCAAAAGAATACAAGACGCATGTCAATTGATTATTGTATTAATAAGGCAAGGGTATAAGAAAAGGCTTACAGTTTGTCTTACAAGACAGGTTAAATCATTTATCAAGTCTTGGAATATTAAATGAAGATCAAGATAACGAATTTTCTCATGTTAGAAGACACTTGTCAGAATTTTAAGAATGTGATATACATTGTGCACGAATACGATCCAAAATCAAATGGTATGAAGATTGTGAGCGAAATAATGAATATATTTTAGGTTTAGAAAAAAGAAACTTTCAGTTAAAGAATTTGTCCAATGTAAATGTTAATGGAATAATATACAGACATATAAAAGATATATATAATTGAATCTGAAGTTGAATATTTTTCTCGTTTGTATTGGGCTACAGGAAAAAGAATGAAGTGAATGGTTATCTTATAAACAGTAAGGTTGATAATGTATTAAATGAAAAACAAAAGAGATACTGTGATTCAGAAATAACACTTACAGAATATAATGACGCCCTCAATAAGACTAAAAAGGAAAAGTCCAGGTTCAGATGGTTTGACTTTTGAGTTTTACCAATGTTTTTTTAATATGTTGAAATATATTCTGTTAAAGTTATTCAAAACATCATTGATAGTAGGATATTTACCGATTTCACAAACTAAAGCTGTCATAACCCTTTTTCATATAAGGAAGGCGACAAAGAAAATCTTTCAAATTGGAGGCCGATAAGTCTGCTAAATACTGATTATAAAATCTGTTTTAGCAGGAAGGTGGAAAAAGTGTTAAATGTTTGTATTGATTTAGATCAAAAGTGCATATCTTAAAGTAATTTTTTTAAAGTAAGTAAATTTGGAACAATTTTCGTTTGATCGATGATGTAATATTTCGTTTTGAATAAAATATTTTAAAAATTCCGGAGCTGTTATCTTTTGGGATCTAGAAAAGGCTTCCGATCAAACAAGTCGGGGGTTTCTTTATAAAAGTTTAGACAAATTTAATTTTGGTAGTATATTTATTGGATATATAAAAACCCTTGACCTACACAAATGTTCAAATTTGTATTGTTAATAATCATGGGCAATCATCTTTTTCTTCTCTGCAAAGAGGTCTTCGGCAAGGTTGCCCAGTGTCAGCTTTATTGTTTTTAGTTGTCATCGAAATATTTGCAATTGAGATTAAATTAGATGAAGCTATTCAAGGTGTTCAAATACCGGGATCAGGAGGTATGCCTGGTACTCAAGTGAAAATTAGTTTGTTAGTATAGTGCCAGGAGAGGCGGAAACCCCAAGGGTTTATTAAAGATAGAAGGAAAAAACATGAAAAAAATGATAGCTTTGAGGTTAGAACACACGATATTTCAGCGCTGATTAAGTGCCCAAACTATTCAAAAAATGAAAACTCTCTTTTCTCAGTCACCACTCACTCTTGGATGATGATTGTTTTAGAATTTAAAGAAGTTCTGTTGATAGTTTGATACACATCACGTGGGCAGAAATTAAACTATGTATGCAAGTACTCCTGAAACACAAGAGAGAGGAAAATAGAGTATGCTACGCAAGTCAGGGATCAGTGATGGTCGTCCCCGATCCCCCGGGGGCGTTATTTTTTCGGCGGCACAGATTGGGGTTAGGTGCGTGTTGAGCCTATGGGAAAGTTTAGGGTTAGGGTTAGGGTTAAATCAAGACCACTTTAAAAAAAAAAAAAAAAAAATCTGTGCCGCAGAAAAAAATGACGCCCTCCCCCTCACTCCCCCTCCCCCCTCCCAATCGCACGTCCCCCCCCCCCCCCCGGGGGGGGGGGGGGGGGGAGTGCGATTTTTCACATTTTCGAGGGCCAAAGAAAAAATTAGTGCTCACTAGGGAACATCCCGGAGGTATAATCTCTGTCACGTTCAAAATTGAATACAACAATATACAGTGCGCCCCAGAAAAAACGAAACCGAGAACTATCGATGTTTTATCATAACTTAATCTTCTATAAGAAATTGAGAATTTAGAGAATCAACGGTTTTTTTTAAATCGAAACTTAATCAAATACCCCCCGATTCGTTTAAACCTATAGAGTAAAACATAGTCTCGATCACTGTTCTCACAGCTTCTCCGATGTATCTATTTTCAACAAAGGCGACTTGGATCTGGGTGAATTATTGATGGTAAAACAGTTTTAAGTCTCCGCGCTAAGGCTTTAGAACTAATATTAATATAGGCGTTTAGGAGTGTTATGCATGGGTGTCGATCCCCCCCCGGGGGGGGGATGGGGAAATATATCCCCCCCCCAAAAAAAAAAAAAAAAAAAAAAAATTAAGGTGGGGGTGGCCTATACAATCACACACCCCCCCTCCCTCTCAATAATTAACCATTAAAAACAAAATTAAAGAGAGCCCGATGAGAGTAGTTGAGGGTTATTACTCGCAAGATGACCATCAATATACACATATGCCAGCTCATTTTCATAATACATATATAAATAGAAAACGAAGTAAATGAGACAACCATATATGAGACAACAATAAATTGAATTTTCGCTCATACAGCTTCATCAGGAATTGATGAATTTATTCAATTTATTCAATCAACAGCATCATAGAAATGCAGTGCGCCAAATGCAAAGCCGCAGCGTTAAAAAGCAACGAGCTAAAATTAATGTTAAGCGCGAAGCGCAAAAGTGCAAAAAAAGACGAAGTAGAGAGTTGGAGAGAGAGAAAATGAGAGACAGAGAGGATAATAACCAAGGTAGCAAGCCACTGTGGGACCCACATGGGTCCCATGTTCTCTGAAACATGGGCCCCATATGGAAAACCATCTGGGGCCCTAAGGCATCTGCACCCAAGAAGCATATGGGATTATGGGTAAACCCATATAAGACAGATGGGACCCAGATGGGACCCATACCAATCTGGGCCCGAATGGGTATGCCCAGCTTAATCCCATCTGGTACCCATATTGGTTAACCCAGATATATCTCATGTGGGTTAACCCAGATTTCCCCCTTGTGTTACCCATATGGGCATATACATATTCTACCCATAATTATGTGTACGCCCAGCTTATTCCCATCTGGGACCCATTAGGGCTGGCCCAGATAGATCCCATATGGGTTATTGGCCCATAATATGGGTTCCATTTAGCCCAGATGGCACAAATGAACAAGATCATCTCCATATATGGACCCCATATAGGCTTGCTACCTGGGAAAAAGGGAAAAGAGGAAGAAACGGGCAGAAGAAAATTCCAGCATTTCCTTCAGGGAACCGATGTGAATGGGCGATGCAAAAAGAAGGTGACTTTAAAGTAACCTACAATGAAATATTGCTCATGTTTATTTCTTACAATGTCAAAATTACTTTACGGATCCCCCTCCCTAAAAAGCTTAGGCATGGTTGATGGTAGGTATGGGGTTAATGCAAAATCCAGTTGAAATGTTATCGTTCATTACGCAGCTTTCCATGTCCTTACAAAGAACATTGACAAAACTGCAAAAATTATTTCCGAAATTGACACATTTCAACACTTCTATAAGAAATTGATGATTTAGAGAATCTAAGGTTTTTTTGAAATCGAAACTTAATAAAATACCCCCGATTTGTTTAAACCTAGAGTAAAACATAGTCTCGATCACTGTTCTCACAGCTTCTCCGATGTTTCTATTTTCAACAAAGGCAGAAGAACGAGACGGCGAAGCAGAAGAAGGAGCAGAGAAAGCAGCAAAAGCAGGAGTCGAAGAACGGGAAGAATGAAAAAGATCGGAGGAAGAAGAAGAAGAAAAAGCTAGAGCTTATTTACAGGAGGCGTTATGACGATTGAGTTATTAGCTACTCCAATCAATCATATGAAGACAATTAACTAACGCATACGACTGTAATTCAAAGCAATGGTTAGTGTGCTCATTTTACATTCACTTTTTGCATGCCATTACACCAGCATGCCGCATCAAATGCCGCACCACTCTCTGACGCAGCGCTGACGCCTCGTGTAAAACGCGTATTGTAAGCGTTAATGCTTATGGTCGAATCCGCAGAGCATACAATCTTTCATAGGCGGGTAATGCATGCTCTGCGCACTCTTTAACTAAAGCATTAGACGAAGATTCTTTGGTCGGATCTGGAGCCTTGCCAAATCCACTGCCTTTTAGGGCATTTGATAGGACAATGCTGTCTTTCAGAGACGCATTGGCGATATCCCCTACGTCTGCACAGTGCCAGTTCAGTTGATCGGCGCTCACGCTCTCCCAATTTAGCATCTTAGGTTTGAAGTCGATACCCATAGCTTCGCAGTATTTCGGCAGGATCTTCTCCGGTTGCGTCACAAGGTCATCTGCGTCAATGATCGTAGGCGCCGCCTGGCCGAATTCCGTCTGGACGTGATGATAGAACTTCTCTAAATCGTGATATATTTCCTTGAACGTGCTGAAATTGAAGTCGGACGTTAATTGACTGACTTCGCTTGCTAAGCGAGCAAGAGAACGGAATGACTTCTTAGGATGACGGATGAGGAATGAATGCTTGTAAGTGCGCTCGACGACGTCAAAATGACCTCGGATGCCTTCTACCATACCTTTCACAAACAGGACTTTTGCTCCAGGATAGTCAGCGTTCAGAAGTTCCTTGATGTAACTGTATGTGTACTTGTCATTCAGCATATCTGAAGATGGAAAGTGAGAGTTTAATAAGTACATAGCTTTACAATCAACCTAAAAAAAAAATATAAAAAAAAAAAACAAGAAGCAAAAAATACCTCAAAAGTATCAAAATCGGCAGTTGTAATTCATATTCATATTCATATTCATATATATTTCATTTCCAACAGAAAGGTGAACAAAGATATTACTTTTTTCATACATAATTCATTTTTTCTAGAAACTATACAAATACACTTTGCACATAATAAAATTATTACGAAAATTTCCGAGGAATTAGGCACAAATCAAATCAAATGAAATAAGGCACTAACTTTTTGAAAAGGGGCAATCGTAATAAAAGAAAATAATAATCATCAAAGGGGAATAGGGCAAAGAAAAAATTATTTCAAGAAAAAAAGGAAACTTCACAAAGTTGAAAATGAGCAAGGCAGAGTTGAAAAGGCTACTTACGGGGAATTTTTCAAGAGGCTTTTGTCATAATTTAAAAGGTACACTTATCAAACATTAAACTGGAACACTTATGGGGTAATTTTATTCATAATAACATACTAGGCAAGTCATCCCCCCAGTGAATCTCCCTATCCGGGCCGAAGGAGTAGCAAGCCAGATACGGTTCCCAAAACATTTCGGTGTCTCCTCGAGCCGTCATTGATCTCGCGAACGCAGTCGACACCGACCGCGGCGTGCTCCACAACATGATACGAGCTGGGTTCGATGAGGTTGCCATGGCTTGGTTTGCTCTGTCTCCCTTCACAATTTTACAATCAAACACAACGTGTTCTTGTTCGTTAATCTGTAAAAGAAAATAAAGAAAATGGTCAAGAAAAGAGAGGGAGTGATAAAGAAGGAGCTAGGTAGAAAGGGGGTAGGTATAGGGGTACAGAGAGAGAGAGAGAGAGAAGGTTTTGAGATGGAGTGGAGGAGGAGAAAAAAGAGCGAGAGAGAGAGAGAAAGAATGTGGTAGAGAGAGAGCGTAGGTGGAGGGGTACAGAGAGAGAGAGTGTGTGTGTGTGTGTGTGTTAGAGAGAGGGAGTGGGGTAGGAGAAAGAAAATAGCGCCCTCTCAATTTTCGAAAAATTCATATTTTTGAATGTGTACAACTCAATAATCCTGTAACCGATTAAATGTAATAACTTCAAGATATGCGCTTTCTATAAACAAAAACAAAAAAATGAATATGTTTATGGACAGCCAGGCGCGTACGCAGCGGGGGGTTTGGGGGTTGACCCCCCCCCCCTCCCCTCAATTTTTGTTATGTGTGTGATTTTTGATGAAAACCTCCCCCCCCCCCCCCCCTCAATTAAAAACAAAATAATAATAAATAAATTTAGTGAAGAGTGCACAGTGAACACTTCAAAAATGGCGCTGAAGATTACGCTTTTTGAAAAATGCGCAAAATATTTAAAACTCGTCATAACTTTATAACTATTATAGCTAGCCCCATGAAACTTGGAAATAACATGTCCGAGATCGTCTGACAGTAAGTGCCAATTTTTGAAATAATTGATTGGGCTATCGAAAAGTGATGGCCTCAAAACATATTTTACCTTTCATTTTGAAGTCCTAGTCACGCATGAATAATTAGGACCGTAATGGCCGCAAAAGAATCTCCTTTCATGTTATACCTAAAAGTGGTAGGCCTACCTCGTCGCAGAAAATGTCCACATATTTCCTTTAAAGTGCACACTCTTTATTTTTTTAATCATTCATCACCCACGCCATTAGCATGTACTTTCATATCTGGGTATTGTTATAGATAATGTGATAGCTAGAACTCAATTCATTTTGTACACGATGTTGATGTTTTGAACGAGTTAGAAAACCCGTTGTATGTAAACAGGGGGACTGGAAAGGGAAACAGAGCGGTTTTATCAGTGCTTGGATACAGCCCACACGGGTAGCGTTATAGTGTTAATCTGCGTTTTAAGACCCGTTTGATCTTAAGAAATAATCACATTTGTCAAAAGAGATGAACGAGTTAGAAGTAGGCCTACATCACGGATCACCTGATTCGTCTCACCCACGAATTAAAGTCGAGTTATGATTATGATGATGATGAGGAGGACGATAATCATAGTTTATTATTTTGGCGTCACAGTCTGTGGTATAGTTTGTACAGTTGTTTGTAGTGGTCTAGCGCCAGCTACGATGGAATGAGAAAGTGTTGAGAATAAAGATGGCTAACACCTCAACAACATAGACTGGACTTGTCATTGCTATATGTCCCATATTTAACGTACTTCCAAGGTATAAAGTTTACTTTGCTATCGACCACCCCCCCCCCCCCCCCGTGCAGCTATACATGACTGTGTAGTAACCTACTCGATTACTACACAGTCATGCATCGCTGCACGGGGGGGGGGGGGGGGCCGGGGGTCGATAGCAAGCAATCACAGTAACCCTCGCGCAGATCTAAACTATGATTTCTGGTATGACATTGCTCTTTCAAGCGACACAAGTATGGTGACTATTGTCCACACGGTACCACCAGTTAACCTCCTATCACCTATGATCATATCCTACAGACATGTTATTCAAATTGTGTTATAATATAAGCTTAATTCGGCAAAATAAATCACTTACCAAAAGTACACCGCGGAGCGTATCACAATCATCTGTTAAGGATTAACCAGCTAGATGAAATATATATTGCCTAGTACTCGGATCACGTGAAAAGTATCACGTGAAAAATATATTTTTGCACAGTATAAAGTGCAAAGTATGTCCATTGTCATTTCAAAGTCATTGCTCAAAGATGAAAGTTCAAGGCCGTATGCAAACATATACATGGCTACGTTGTTGATGTCCATGTGATGTTTACATGGATTGACATCTTTTGGCCGGGTGCCAGGACAAAGGTTCAATGAAATACTTTTACGCAGTATAAAAAGGATCTACCCCACAGGCCTGGATCCAGGGGGGCGAGGCCCGCTAGCCCCCCCCCCCCCCCCCCCCCGTAAAAAAGAGAGAGAGAGAGAGAGAGAGAGAGAGAGAGAGGAAGGAAAAGGGAAAGGGAAAGAAAGAAGAGGATGAAGAAAAGAATCAGGGGAGGGGAAGTGGATACTGCGTGTAGGCTACTGCCAATCATCCGTTGTACATACTGTAACAAATCAGGGTTTTAGTATTGGACGAAGGTTAAGCATTTTTTGTTGTACGAGCATGCGCTATAGCAATATGGAGCATCGTTGATTTAGCAATTACCAAACTGAAGGAAAATGAGCATAAATTACATATTTTGATCATGTTGGTGCAATTATCATGTTTTTTGGGGGGATATTATTTGTATAGTAGTGAGCTAATCAGGAATAAGGGGTTATACTGAAGATTATATGTGAAGATTTTATGGGATTAGCAGAAATATGGTGTTGAAGTGTTGTTTTACTAACGAGGACATAATTGTTCTTTTACACGTTTATGTATAGGGAAATTGTTACGATGGTCAGGGTTGTGCATCTAGGGCTTTCCACTGCACTGTATCCGATACAGGCCAGCCTCACCGAGGCTGGCCTGATAGTTGGCCTGATAGTTGGCCTGATAGTTGGCCTGGCCTAAGCCTCTAAGCTAAGTCTCACATAGTTTGCACTGCACTTGTACTGAGTTGACCCGATTGTTGAATGGATCGCAATAAAGACTTTTAACCTACACATCATGATTGGTTTGATTTCTTGTAGCAGTGAAACTAAGGGACGAGAACCTGTGACAAGATTAGTGTTGACAAGGGAAATTGATTGATGCTGTGAACGAGACGTTTAGGTGACCGATTGTAGTCGATGGACGAATGATTGTTGAGATACGTGTGAGCAGTTAATGACTCCAGCCATTAAGCTACGGGCATATATTTTGTCCAAACGGACGGAGAGCGCCTGGCCAGATACGGGGCATCCTGACAAATATTCCGTGTCAAGCCAAGGTGGCGAACCGTGTCCGCTACAATACTCTCCTCGTACTGTCTAACTTCTTCTTATCCTTTTATGTTGCATTCCCAAAACATGATGATTTACGTGTTAAAGCCTCTGTGGACGTTTCCGGGCGGCGTCATTTTTTTCTGCGGCACAGATTGGGGCTTTTTTTTAAAAGAGGTCTTGATTTAACCCTAACACTAACCCTTACCCTAAACCTAACCCTAAACTTTCCCATAGGCTCACGCACCTAACCCCAATCTGTGCCGCAGAAAGAAATAACGCTTCCGGGCGAACAAAATAAGAGAGAAGGAAGGAAAGGAAAGAAAAAAGGAAAAGAGGAGACAAAGGGAAGGAAATAAGAGAAAGAAGAAAGAGAAGAAGGGGGACATTAGTTGCAATTTTTCCGCCAACAAGTTTTGGATCGGATGGGAGGCCTTAATTGCCCACCCCCCGCCCCCGCCACAAAAAAAAAGAGAGAAGGAAGGGAAATGAAAGAGGAGAACAAAAACAGAGGGAAAAAAAACCGGGGTGAAAAAAAGGAGAGATTAGTATGAATTAATCCCGCCAACAGCGTGTGGATCGGGGGGGGGGGGGGGGGGCGGGGGCGGGGGCGAAAGGCCTTTGCCCCCCCCCCCCTCCCAGCAAACCTAAAAGAGAGAGAGAAGGAAGGGAAGGGGAAAACAAAAAAGAGAAAGAAGAAAGGTAGGGGAGATCAGTTGCGAATTTTCCCGCCAGCAAGGTGTAGATCGGGGGGGGGGGGGGGAATAAAATTTGATACCGATGATTTACAAATGTTGCTGAAATGACGTAATTTTCCGAAACTTTTCTTCACTTTTTTAGTAAGTTTTACTTTTTGATGCGTTTGTTAGAAAATGGCAAACTCTTAAATTTACAGTCAGGCAAGCAATAAGCTTATTGAGAGGCCTACAGGTCAGGGCCCGCGGAACGGCGGGGCTCGGTGGCCCGCGAGCCCCCCCCCCCACACACACACACACTTAAAAAAAGTATGTACAAAATAATGAGGTATCAAAATATACTAATCTGACCTTGATTAAACGCCTTAAACCCCTGAGCGTCCAGGGGCGCTGACCCCTGGATTCCACATAGGGCCCTAGATGCATTTTGACAGTTATCTAATGCCTAAAACCCCTGAGCTTCTGGGGCCTCCGCCCCTGGACCCCACGCAAAAGTGTCCTGCCAGTGTCACAAATAAGGTATCAAAATATTTTTGTGCTCATCTGACCGTAATTAAATTCCTAAAACCCCTGAGCTTCTGGGGGCTCCGACCCCTGGATCCCACGCAAATTACTGTCCTGCCAGCGTCACAAAATAAGGTTTCAAAATATGCTCATCTGACGGTAATCAAACGCCCGAAACCCCTGTGCTTTCGGAAGCTCTACCCCCTTAACCCAACCAGTGGCCCTAAGGCGGACCCTAGATGCTCATCTGCCCGGATCGTAATTTATTGCCTAATCCTCCTGTGCTTCCGGGGGCTCTGCCCCCTGAACCCAACCAATGGCCCCAAGGCGGACCCCTAGATGCTCATCTGAACGTAATTTATTTCCTAATACCCTTGAGCTTCTGGGGGCTCCGCCCCTGGACTTCAAGGAAATTAGTTTCCTGCCAGTGTCACAAATAAGCTATCAAAATATGCTCATCTGGCCGTAATTAAATGCCAATACCCCCTGAGCTTCCGGGGGCTCCGCCCCTTGACCCCGCCGGGGCTTTACCCCTCGGCCCTACGCCAATTTATGCTACGCTCTACCTAATCGTAAATACTTTAGCCTCCCCCCCCCCCCACTTTGAAAAGCGTTCAAAGGGGCCTGCATGTAAGAGTGGGATGATGCGGATTTTTTCTTCTGCCCCCCCCCCTCCCCCCATCCCCAAAAAGTTTTGCTCATATACGCCACTGCTGGTCACCGTTACGTATCAATATTCGGCTCGCATAATTTCAAATTTGGCCCCCCCCCCCCCCCCCCCCCCACCCCCCCCCCCCCCCTCCCAGGAAATCCTGTATCCGCGCCTGTTGTATATGGAACCTTTCTAGAGGGCATCGAATGTATACTTTCTTTGAATTTGATAAGTAGATAGATTCCCCCCCCCCCCCCCCCCATCATTATATCAGCGCTTATGAGTGAATATGTTGTCTTATAATTTGCAGACGTGGACTTAAATATCAAAATGTCATTTAAGAAAATTGAACATGTCGATCACCTAGCTGACGACAGTTATTTTACAGACCTTGAACCTGGTAATCGTCCTGGATATATCAGACTGTCCGCATTACGTCAGAGGGGTGTATTGTATATATTAGTACATATTTTGGTTTTCGGTTATTTACGGCGAAACTGGCCGACATACCTTTGGAGAGGGAGGGGTGCGGGGACGGGGTCCTAGATAAAACAAATGCGAGAGAGCAAAGCCACACAACGCCACCTTCCTTATTTCTTCCTTGATCTCTTCCTCTATTATCTTGTTTGTTGTTATTGTTGTTGTTGTTTTCTATTTGAAGGGGGGCTGTCTGATCCCCCTTTCGTTACCAACACCGCACGAGTATGAATTATGACTTGTATGACTTATTTTTACGTGATCAATACACAAATTAAAGTTCGCAATTAATATGACAGCGTATTTCTTGCTGGGGTTATAATAGCGCAGATGGGCTGACATGTACTGTGCGGAGCAAGGTGATAGGAATAACCTTAATGGTAGATTTGAATATTTCCCCGATGTAATTTCCCATGATTATCCAATCGGTCTCTACTACTGGTAGAACAGCAAAAGTTGTGTCTTTAAAAAAAATGGTATATAGGCCTATATATCGTTGAACTTAATTGCCCCAATAGCCCTAAAAGGGCTATTGCAAAAGGTAGAGGAAAAGTAAGCCAAAAATGATTGGATTTGTTTACGTGAACCCGCTTTTAGACTGAGGGACAGCGGAGGGTTGGGAAAACAAACCTAAGAATAAGATAACAAAGATGATCCAGTTATTATTTTGGCCAATGTCACCATCCCTCCCGGCGACGCTGCCCTGTAAACGTTTCCCACGATCGTTCTTTTCGTCAGCGGGTGTTATTGTACCATTAACTGACACAATATGTTGTTGCCCCTAATTTTGTCTTTGCTATCATATTCTTCTTTGTTTCGTTTTTTCTTTCTCTATGATAATTATCAGCAACTCTGAATTAAATTCCCATGAATTAGCATGCAGAAATTCAAAGTCTTCTCAAGTAAACACGTAGGAATTTGCAATAGTAGTAAATTAACGTTCCTCTTCTTCTTGGTCGTCGTCTTTTCTTCTTCTTCTTCACATTTAGTGTTCTTCTACTTCTTCTTTTGAACATTATTTCCTTCTTCTTCTTCTCCTTCCCCATCTTCTTCTTCTTTTCCCTCTTCATTTTCTTCTTCTTCTCCTTCTTCTTCTCCTTCTTCTTCTTCTTCTTCTTCTTCTTCTTCTTCTCGAGTCCTCTTCTCTTCTTCTTCTTCTTTTTCTTCTTCTTCCTCTTCTTCTTCTTCGTCTTCTTTCTCTTCCTTCTTTGACTCGCCGTTAGTACCAGAAAAAGGCAGCAAACGCTGATCAACATAATTATGATCCAACACTGTTTTCACATTTCAATCTTCTCTCTTTTTGCATAATTATAAGCCCCATTAATTGCCTCGCAACCACTCTTAGGGCAGTTCGGTCATGATTTCAGTTTGTGTGGGCGATTGTTTTCACATTGACGAACTCCAAACTTTGCTTTTATGTCAGATTGGTGACGTAGGTTAAACCGCTATTAATGATGTTCATTTGTGTATGTTTTGCCTTAAGATCTGAAATAGATTATCATAATGATAATTGCTTGCTAAATAACAGCCTCCTCGCAGTTTCATAATGGCGCCATAATGGGCCTGTCGTCAGAAAATTACGACTTAACTAATTGTCAGCGAAGGAAGCCTATGGGGCTTGTACCTAATGAGCAAATTATGTCTAGATTGAGATTGTCTAGAAGTGAAAAGTAGGCTTTCCAAATAGCGGATTTTTTTCTTCCGGAGGCTTCTGTTCTGCCAGTGCCTATGATGTTTGGGCTGTTGACGCAAAATCTGGCATAGTATACTACATGTATGTGTATTTATAAACATTTACATATCCCAGAACAAATAGACTGATTTTTAGGTCGAATATGTAAATTATGAACGCAGCATCACATCGTCGTGTTAATTAACAAACGAAATTTTACCTCACGGTAGAAGATGATCGACTGTTCTTCACTTCGGTCTAAAATTGTCTGTCAAATCGTCATCATCAGTATCATCACCATCATAAACAATCAACATTCGTTATCGAACTTATTCGGTCATCATCATCATCATCATATATGTAATTCACAACATTTACGTGTACTATCCATCAAACTAGAGATGGTAGAAGACCTTATCTCTCTCTCTCTCTCTCTCTCTCTCTCTCTCTCTCTATTTCCATCAATCTAGCTTATAAACTCATGTATTCTTGTTGCATCCACTTTTAGACTTTAGTTATGAAAAAAGGTCACAATATTCATAGAAAATATACAGAATTGATTCGCTTTTCGGTATAATGAAGAAAAGTGCGCCTTTTTAATTTCATCTTTAGAAAAAAAGGCACATGTACTGAATATACATAAAACATAAACTAATGCTGGAAGATAATAATGAAAGGCCATCACATGGCCGAGTTTGCATAGGTACATAATATAATAACTTGTACAAAAGTCATAGCAAATTTAAAAAAAGTAACAAAGACATGTAGTACCATTTTCTCTAGTACTTTCCAAGTGATCGTACAAGTTACAAACTTAAAAGCAAAAAGAGAAAAGTAAAATGCTTATTTACAATTTCAGCAGATTTTGCCTGGTCTGAATCAAAATGATAAAGAAATGTTGACACTTTTTGAAAAGATATTTCCTTTTCTTTACAAAAACAAAAGAAGAAAAGAAATACGAAATAAAGATGAAGAAAAAATAAATTCTCTCTAAATTTTCAATTTCTTTGAACTTTTTAAGGCACATAGTGATTGCATAAAGCAATATTTACATAGAAAATAAACATATTCACAGCTGATTGAATATTTGTTTTCGTAATATTACAAGTAGAAACATATATTGAGCATATCATAATTCTTTTGTTACTGAACTGAAATACATTTAAAAGGGAAGACAAATCTTGAGGAATCAGTATTTCATGTGAAAATAACACAATGCTAATTTTTGCATCATGAATTTGTATACGTTTATATTTCAATAATTTACATCCCAATTCTTATTCAAATACATTAATATAAAGAGAATACACATAAAAAACATTTATGAAGAATATGCTTGCAATTATAAACTGTATACAATGTCTTTGAATTAAATTAATTCCAATACTGAACTGAACAAATTGAACAACTCCAGTACATTAATGTCCATTTATTAATCATAATTATTATTCAAGTAAACATTGGAAGTTCATGTTGATTTCTGTTGTACTCTCTAGACTGATTTTACTCTATCAAAATCAAGGGTCATTCAGTCAATTCCTAATTTGTGCCAACTAGATAGATATCAAATAAATTTCTTAAGCAAATATCAAAAGATGTACAAGTATTTAGTACAATACATACACATCATTTGACATTTGCGTCTGTTCATAATTCAATGTATAATGATTGTGCGAATCGAAAGTCACTAAGCCCAATGATTTGTACTTCAAAGTCGTAGTCCGCCACACACACAAAGCACCATTAATACGGATTGATTAAGCACCCAACATCTGGAATGTAAAATTGATATGGAATGCTAATAAAATCTCTTCTTTTTCCTCATTTAACAGAAAAATCTTCTTCTCAAAACTTTACAAAATATTATATTTCTGATCTTATACACAAAGATTAATGATGGATAGTGCAATGTTCGGTACTGAATGATTGGTGGAACATAGATGCGCACACACATGAAAATATGTAATCACTGTATACAAAATAAACTTACCCAAAGTATACAAAACAACATAATAGGACATGAGATGAGCGTTGTACATTTGCCAAATGGAAAGGCTCAAATGCAATAATTGTAATTTTCTTTTCTTTTTCAAGAAATATCGTGTGGTGGGTTAGTTTTGTATACACACAATGTAACTTTGATTCTTTACAAGTAAAAATGAGCTAGAAATTGTTGATGACCTTTGCTAAGAACTTTCAACTCTGTCATGAACTTTCAGTGTCAATTGTTTAGAACAGAACGTTCCAATTCTCTCCATAACGAATGCAAAATGATATGAAAGCTCTCTTTGTGCAAAGCCAAACATTCCTGAGACTGTAAAAAATAAAAACTCATCAAATGAAAGAGCATACATTGATACACCTGCACATAGGATGAAAGAGGAGAGTATAAAAATAAAAAATTAATCTATCAAAATGAAAATCATACATTCAGGTAGCATTGATAAATCTTCAGCATCTCTGACAGCACGTCATGGTACGAAACATTTGAGAACAATATAATTAAATGATGAATTTCCTTGAAAGGAATACAATACATGTATATCAAAAAATTGTGTTATAGCAGCAAAATACAAATTTGATACCAAATGACACAATGCAAATTTTATCATTGAAGTGACAGGATTAAGAGAGAACTGGAAGAGTTTTGAATTATATCATTTACACAGATTTAACACTCTTAAAGGGGAGGTCTACCCTCATATTAAATTGGTTTTAATAGAAGAAGAAAATGAGAGGAACAGGTCAGAGAAGGTTTGAGCAATTATCTGAATAAAAAAGTAACAAATTTTGAACTCACGATCGATCAAACACAAATTGGCTACTCTGTGACGTATCTTACGAGCTCCCCTCCCATTTGCTCTGTTCCTCTCATTTTTCTCTCTCTATTGAAAGCAACTAAATATCAGGATGGACTTCCCCTTTAAGGCTCTTTCAGATATGACACAGTAAACCGCCACGGTTTATGTAAGTGTAAATGAACGGCAACCAAGTGCAATAAAGCTCCTGCGCCTATTCACTTAGCTCTGTGTTAGAAGATTCATGTACAGAAACGTGAAATACACATGCTTTACAACATCATTTTAACAAACACTGCAGGTAAGCCGCGTCAAATCTGAACGGGCCTTACACCATTCTAGCTTTCAGCAGATATATATAGTGCAGCATATCCAATGAAAGCGTACTAGATCTACCCACATAAAACAAAACACCAATAATGCCAGGAGGTATATAGAGTAGCAGCAGAAAACGAGAGCTGAGTCAGATGCATCAAGGTGAAAGATTTCATTAATTCAAGAGGTCACATACTGTCATGCTAAAAAAAAAGATTTGAAATATAACCATCTTGGGAACAAGATTCATACTCCCAAGCATGTAATCTCTCTGCTGCTAAGAAAAAGTACTTGAACCATAATACTGACCATGAATCTAAGATTATTTTCATTCAACACCACTTATCCAATCCCAAGTAATTTCTGCCTAATAGTAAAACCATTCCTTCATCATCTTACCTGTTAATACGATCAAGTTTGATCAAAAGTTTGTGTTCACAAGTGTAAATGTTACTAGCACCAAGTACCATGGAACACTCTTGCCCCCTGCCCTAAATCAATGGGACATAACCAATCGATTGCCAGAACCGGGGCATTCCTGTATGACATACAAGTCTATGGGATAATGCAGTAGTCGACGGGTTAAGACAATCACAATATCCGCAATACCTCAAGATGATTATTACATGGTTAGTTTGGCATTGGACCCATTTTGACTCAATGTCCCGCTGCCCCTTCATCGCTCGAATCTTCCATGCTCTTGCGCTTCACGGACTGAACGGGCGTCCTCTGCCTGAACTGGTACCTCACCGTTTTGGAAGGCGTGGTTTTCAGGCTGCTAGTTTGGGGAACGCTCCTACTTCTGCTGCTCACGGGGCTTCCCCCGACCCTCCTGGCCTTGACCTTCTGCTGACATAGCCTCCCGCTGGCGCTGATGGTGTATGTCACCTGACTCTTTGACTTGAGCGATGATGACGACGATGAGAGGGCGGTAGATAGAGGTAGGAAGCAGTTACTGGTGCTGGGTATGTCTCCAGACGTCAACGAGAGGCCTTTGGATGATGTTGATGATGGATGTGATGTTCTGGTTCTCACAGACACAGACTGGCTCTCGTCTAGTATGACCCATGAGGCAGAGGACCTGGTGGCAACGTGGTCCCTGCTGTCATTTTTTGGTTGAGCTTCCTCGCGTGGTTTGTCTGAATGAGCATAAGAACAAGAAAGCAAATGAAGTTAGCTCTTTCAAAAATATTGAATGCACTTTATATTTACAGTATAGTAGAAGGAAAAGAGGGAGGTAACGAATGAGAAGGAGGAGAACAACAACAACAAGGAGAGAAAAAGAAAGAAGTCCCATCAACCCCTCAAACAAACAATCCTTTTTATTGTTTGGGTATTTTTAACCCCAACAAAAAAGTGGTCTCAGACCTATACTTTTTCTAAGTACCTTAAGTTTGATAACGCAGAAATGTTGCACACTACAAATTATGAACAAAACCATATAAAAACTTAAATTATTAGGCAATCTAGTTTGACAAGCTCAGGATCACAAGGCTACCACGACAGTCACAAAGCTTACCAGTTATCTGCGGATTGATATCTGAATCACTGATATCAAAGGGAACGACATCTACACCTAGCCATGGGTCCTCGTCCTCTGGAAACTCGTGGGTCGGCGTGGAAACACGGTCGCTGCGGTCATCATGCAAATACTCTGCTACATTAGGCTTCCTGCAAATGAAAAAAACCATTGGGAAAACTTGATTACGGAATTAATTGTTATTGTTACAATCGTTAAATACGACTTGAGTACGACAAACCTGAAGATCATATTGCAAACATTAAACAACATTTTGTCATGATGACACATCACATTTTAAAGGAAATCTTAACTTAGTAGCATACTGCTATAAAAGAAAGCAGATATATAACATCTAATTGGCCGAATCGGTAATGTCAAACAGACGTAGTGCCGAACAACCTTCCCATTTGTTTCAAGACACAAAATGACTATAAAGTCAATTTTTCAAAATGTATCACTCAAAGGGTTGTTTTCTTTTTAGAGGAACTAATATATATGCTATCCATAAAATATTTTGACTAGCTAGAAGACACTGACCAACTTGCCAATTTGAAATTTGGTAGACTTAGTGATCTCATATTTTAAACATACATGACTCTTTTACTGGTCTGATTTATTTCAAACTTTTAACTAGTCTGTTCCCCTTATTTTTCTGCTTTCATAAAAATGAACTTATTACAAAGGTTGGATTGCCATACAAGGCTTGACAAAACATTTTCCAGATGAAGTTCTTTGTTCTTACATTTGTCCTCTTGACTTTCTAGACGGCGACATGAGGAGGAAAGCATCCATGCCATCCTTGCTGGAAGGCATCGAGTTGTCCCTGCTCACGTCTGCCGGCTCCTCATCGACCACCTCCTCGTCCTCCTCCACGCAGAGCATGGTTCTGAGCGTCGGGTGAACCATGATGTCCAGCTCACCGACCCTTAGAAAGAGGTCCTCTGAGAAGCGCTGCTTGACTGCTGCCAAGGTCACGTCACGGTGGTCTTTGACGGGGTCATCCAGGAAACTGGTTGGTAAAGCAGGTTTGTTTATTTATTTATCTATTTCTAATCTTTTGTCAGGATAGTACATTCACCAATAAGTAGTGGTCTTCCATGTGGCCTTGAATAATCATGAACATATTTACATCAAAAAGCATAACGTTTACGCAGAACAGTTCAAATAAAATTCCATAGTACATTTAGAAAGATATTTACACAGCAATAATAGACGTGACACAAACGAATACTCCAAACAGATCATTCAAAATGAACTTTAAAGGCCCACTGCACTACTTATAGCTACTTGCGCCCTCTATATAACAAACAAAGCCTTATCGTGACCATTGGTCCCCCATGATCCTCTTTTCTTATGTTAATTGAGAGCTGATTTGATGAGATAACCATCTGTCAGTGACCTTGCAGAGAGGTCTAATCCCCCCTGGCCAAACTAGTGCAGATGGGCTTTAAAGTGCACATTTAATCACCTAAAGAGATAATCTGTGTACAACTAGAATGTATCAAATTAACCTAAAAAGGTTTACCCAGCCCAGCATTCTATAGACTAACAGTTACAAAAATCAAAGAAAAACATGAAACACTGTGCACAGAACACAATTTGGACTGGGGTAGCCATGTGGGCCGTATTCTATGCAACGCCCTCAGGTGCGTCAAGTAGTCTACTGTTGTGTTGATGTATAGTGTACATGTATAATAAAATTCAATGCCAGGGGTGATAGTGAGCACTAAAAAAAAAAGGTTTTTTGTTTTCCCCTCAACCACGCCTCCCTTGAGTAAAAAAAAAAAAGAGGAGGATTCGGGGGGAAAAAATGGCATCTAATAACATTCCCCCCTTTCGAGTAAGAAAATTGGGAAAAAAATAAGGCAAAATAGGGAAGAATAGAGAAAATAAGGGGGAATCAGGAAAATCACGATAAAATAAGGGGGGATCGGGAAAATCTGGTAAAAAAAAAAAAAAAAAAAAAAGAGGATTTTTTAATTAATTTTTTTTTAGATCGGGAAGAAGAAGAAAAAATATTAAAAAATCAGGAAACTGATTTAAATTGGGTTTTTATCAGGCCTGAATGCTATTGTCTCAGGAAAATATTGGATCACTGCATTTTTTAAATTCAAAAGTACCGTCTACCACAACAAATAAAATGAGACTTACCACTTGTTATGAAGGTGCAATGTGCACTGTACTAGATCACAGATTTCAAAGCCGGTATGTTCAACTAGTGGAGTGGGCCATGGAAAGTCTGCAAAGAGAGGAGAAATAAAATATAATAATTTACATTCTTTGGAAAGGTGACAAACAAACGGGACTGAACTTTAATGGCTTGTTCAGATACAAACAGGTAAGCTACATTTTTTGTTAAAACTTGTAAATAAATAGCAACTGCACTCAACAAAGATCCTAAATTACATGAACTTACGGGTCACTAAGCTTTGTGTTACAAGATACAGGAATATGAAGCCAGGTATGAGCATTGAGCATTCATCATTTAGACTTAAAGTACCAACAATATCCCAATGCTTTAGTTAAAACAAATATTTAAAAACAAATAATAACAATACCGGTAGTCAAATTTGCTTTAGTGAACAACTGTATAGAAAGACCATCTGTCTACACAGACCACATTTTTTGTTTCCCTTGAAAATGGTTTCTCATTGAAACATGTACTAAAGGAACTGGTACATAAAGACCTTTTTTTTTTCTTGTCTCCCTCGGGTGGTCTTTATAGACAGGTTTCACTGTAATAATAATAATTCCAATCCAAATTAAATTACCTGCACCGAGAACGAGCCGTGCAAGGAAGAGAGAGCAGGCAGCGATTAGAGCCCTGGAGTATTGGCCAAAGTCAGCATGGAGTAGAGAGAGCTCACTGATGTACAAGGCCAGGTATTCCATCTTACTGTCCGCTGAAACCACTTGGCAGAAGAGATGGAGGTAGTCTAAGATCGTCAGCTCCTGTTGGTTGGTCAAAAGAAACAGATTAGAATAGTCAATTACCGGTACATATCCTTGCGGGGGGTGGGGAATTGTTATCTTTTCTTGCTAAAGTTTCAGTTCGAAATGCCCTCATATCTACTAATCTTAAATATATAAAATCTGAAACAATTTGTTTGTATGTATGTATTGACATTTTACTCCCCCCCCCCCCCCCGGCCCCCCTCTCTCTCTCTCACACTCTCTTGTTTTCTCTCATTCCTTCCTTCCTTTCTTCCTCTCTTTTGCTCTTTTTCAATATTTCACACAACAGTCTGAAGTAAAAGTTCACCACCATCCCATAGAAACATGCATTTAACGGGATGACAAGAATTTTTCCAGGATTCCATTTCTTTCTGATTTTGTGTTCAATTCTGTCTACCTGTATGTATTTGACATTCAACAAATTCTGTTCACTTCCATGCTCTTTTTAACCTACCATACTACATGTACATGTACTTTGAAAGTATTAAAAGATGAAGTAAAGTGAATGTTCAAATTAATATTAAAGGGGATGTAGCATGACGAGATTACATGTCGAACCCGTGGCCTGACTTGGGCCAATCAAGTATAATACGACTACAGACGATGCGACTGCAGCAATCACATGCGTGCGACATAAGTGAAACCAAAGCTCGAGGAGAACTTCGGTCAATTTCGCAAACACTGACCATGTAGAGATTAAGTTGCTGACTACCATTAATCAAGCCCATTCGTTTACGTGCAGTTGTCGAAAACAAGACGTAGATCGCGTTAACCAGTATTTGACAAGCTACACTCCCTTTAATGGATTGCAAACAACTCCTTACCCTGAGATTGCCCTTGAGTGTTGCTACCACATCTCCGAGCATGCGAACCACATCCTCGTACTTGTAGGTACCGTCTGTGAGCCACGCGGCCTCACGGATTGTAATGATGTCATCTTCTAGTAATCTGTGAGGAAGGTGAAAGAGAGGTACAGGTTAATGAGATTTACATTCAACCTGTCCTATCAAATTATTGCAAGCTTAACGTCAAACAGTTCACCTTGTACAGTCAAACCTGCTTTAGTGACCACCTGTCTACAAAGGCCACATTTGCTGTTTCCCTTGAAAATGCTTTCTCATTGAAACATGTACTAAAGGAACCTGTCTACAAAGACCACCTGTCTACAAAGGCCATTATTTGTGTTTCCCTTGGGCAGTCGTTATAGACAGGTTTGACTCTATTACATTTCCATGAAGTTGAACACTGTTTATATTTCTCTCTCTTTTCAATTAAGATACAAATGAAAATATGGTTCTACAACAGCACTAAAAGTATGCAGTCATTTGAAAAAGCCATTACTTGGATAGAATACCGACATGTTGATGTACATTAAAGTGATTAAACATTACAATTCAAGCCAAATTTAAAAGAACAAGTGCTAGTCTAAACTGAATATGCTTACATTATAATGGGGGCTTCTTATATCGTACATCTCTATCAGCCATGACGTTGTGGTTGCTCCACTTTATTAGTTATTACCCCGGCCAAATATGTAGCGCTATCCACCCTATCTTGCCAAAGGACTATGGTGCTGGCTGGGATTTGAACCCTCAAACCTTGGATTGAGAGTCAAGTGAATGAACCACTATTTTTTTTATAAGATGATGACTTGGATCCTAATCAAATGATAGGTTGAGAGCGTACATGTGACCAGACTTTTATTTTTCCTAACACATAATTTTGATGACTGGTCATTATCAAATGCTAATGACCATAATCTTATAGAACAAATAATACACATCATTTTGTTCGGGCATTAGTAAAATTACCCACACTTGGTACCTCCGAAACAGTCCAAACACCCTTGGATATCGCCTCCGGCGTGTTAGACTGTTCCAAAGGTATCTTGTGTGGGTAATTCTTACTAATGCCCTCACTGCGGTGTATTATTTTTTATACCAAAGACACCTCCACTTTGTCTGAAAACAATCCACCCATGCATTACCTTGAGCAGATGACCATGCATGTGATGCCCACCAGCTGCAGCGTTGACCGGGAGATATTCCTGGCCATGAGGTAACGGTCAACCAGCTGGACAGCACTGTGGATGGTCAAACACGAGTAGTCTTTCATGCTGCCGACTTCTACTAGCCAGTCGACTAAGATGTATCTGCAAAGAACAGATTCAAGAGAGAAAATTCGCATATTAAACGTGATGACTGTGGTTATGGAGACCAAACTTTGCTGAAAGACAAGAAAAATATGCCAGGATGATTTATAGATCTGTAAGTTGTAACAATATCTTCCTCATTTTCATTATACCGTTTAGATTAAAAAAGAAGTTCCCTTTCCTGCCACCTGACGATTCAAGTCTTGCTTCCAATAATTACACACAAAACTTGCACATGTGGATACTGAAGTTAAAAAGGGTACCATAACAGAAGCCTGTCAAATGCCTATAGCCTTGACTGCAGGGATCCATAGAAATAACACAAGGAATTTTCATCACTAGCTAAATATATGTCAGTCTCTTGAAATTCATCATACAGTACAATCAAATCACTCAGAGCCAAGTCTTCAAGTGTTTAGTCAACAAACTTGACAAAACACAACAAATGTGATGCCATACGCTATTACAGATGCCCTACTTATGACTATGGCTAGTGGCATCACTCCGAAATACAATTATCATGAAATTGTAAGACAGACTCGGCTACAAAATGGCTTGATGATACATGAAACTCATTTCTTCTATAAAAAATTCGAGTATCCTCCCCCCTTTACCTCATTGCACTATTGAGTCCATTCTGGAACCTGAATCACGTCTTACTCCCACAAAAAAATAAGTACCATAAGATTGTATAACAGACCCATCTAACTAATGCTTTATGACACATGAAACTCTCTTAATTTCTGCTAATTTGTTGTCAAGTATCCTGCTCTCTTTACCTCATTGCACTGTTGAGTCCGTTCTTGGACCTGAGTAACGTGTGGACTTTGGTTGGTTGAGACTCCTTCACGAAGCCCCTCATTGCTTCCCTGGCGTGGGACTGAGACACACCTCCCAGCTTGCCTTTGGCATACTCTGAATACAAACGCAACTGTTTGGGGAGACAGACAGACAGACAATCATAGAATGAAGATAAAGTATGAAATAATTGGAATATATGGATTACTTCAAAGATAGATTTAAGCAATGAATGAACAATTCAAAATCAGGTACCGAAAAAAAACAAAAACAATGTCATCATCATAATGACAGGAGATTTTACTCTTTAAATTACTTTATATCTGATTTTTTTTTTCTTCACTACTTTGATGATCAATAACTGCCGTTTAGGTTCCTGCAACTGAAGATTTTTCTGCCTGTCTGCATCACAGAAATTAATTTCTGAAAAACATGGCTGATTATTAGAATCTTCTTTCCCCTTCATTCTATAACATCTCATTATTCCTCTGCATGTATCATTCAGATTTTTTTAAACAGTCTTGTCAATATTAATTGAAGATTACATGCAAGCAATGCTGTGGTTTCTATACCATCAAATTCACCTTATACAGTATGTAGATGAATAATGCACTACTCACTTTTGCTTCCAAACAGCCCTGAGATGCGAATTCCCTGAGTTGACGTAGAATGTTCAGATTAGTTGCATGGTCATTAGTCTATAAAGACGGAGATAGGGAGAGAACAAAATAAGTCAAATATAGAGAAATTTAGTGTCATTATTCAATAGAGTTCTTACCCATCTGCTGACAACACAAATGATTTACTAGTATTGTCATGATAAAGCTTCATTTTTTTTGCTCACTTTGAGAGTACATTCTGTTCTCTTTATCTTTCAAAACCCAAGGCAGACATACAACATAATTATGGAATAGTTTGTGTGGTAATCTTCAACTGCTCCTACATTTAATCCAGTCTACATTTTGCTGAATGTAGAGAATTAGGACTCTGGTTGAGATTGGGATTTAGGTTAGGTTTAGAGTTAGGATTACATGTAGGAAAAGGGCAAACGTTGGAAAGTAACTGTAACCGACTAATGTTAAGATCTGCATGGCGGAGAAAGCATTACAAGATATGTCGTATGTCATTTGTTTATATTTGTTGCTTGCATATTGTAAGCTGGAATTTGCCCTAACCAAACAATGGCCAATGCCCCCCTCCCCTCCCCTCCACTAATCTAAATGTAGTTACGTGTAGCTTGAATCTTGAGATAGAGGGTGTGCCTATTAAAGGTTATGATGAAAAAGAGCGAGTGGCCTCATATGATGATGATGAAGATGGCCTATTACTTACACTGTCATTGAGACTGTTCTTCCAATACTCGTAGCTGGCTGCCACGCTACCGGCATCAGCTGCTTTCTTCAGCCACTGCCTCGATTCAGACTGGTGACCATTTTTCTTCTTCATACTTGGATCCATATCCTGTGATAGAGATTTGTAGATATAGATAACATTATTTATATTAACCATGAAAGCACAAAGGTGAGGGGGAAAAAGGGGGTAGGGGTACGAGACCTCCAGTAAAAGAAGAAACTCTTTAAGTTTAGGTTTTTAACTCAGAGTAAACAAGACAAATGCAATGCAGTACACCTCTGCCTAAATTCAGAACAAAAACCCTATGTCAATTGATCTGTACGACCTTTGACCTGACCATCATATAACCTTGGATGGGCATTATTGTTTGAAAAGTTATTTAGACATTATAACAAGTCATATAAAACATAGCAATTGATCTGAATCAACCTCGACCTTGCAAGTCCTGTTTTCTTCTTCTTTTTCTTTTGTTAGGAGATGCAACTAATAACACTTAACTTGAGCTGCTAATTTGGATTGCTCACAAAGCCTTTGTAAGAGTGGGGCCAGAGTAGCAAACCAATATGTATTCAATCATTATATCACAATGAAAGCATGAGAATATATGCATGGGAGGCAGAAAGAATTACCTACCTCAATGAATGAATGCAGCTTGGCAAGGCAGAATAGTACTGATCGGTCAGCTTCCTGTAAATAAGAAAAATTATAATTTCCGGTTACAAAATAACAGGGAAACAGCTAACCTTATGTACTTCTACATTTCTCTCTCCCATGATTCTGCAAACTGGCAAAAGAAATATAAACCTTTCCATCCACCAGTGATATTTTTTTGTTCTACCCACTAAAGATTTGAATATTTAAAGAGATGGTCTTCATATTCTATGTGCAGAAGGCCATAGTTCGCTGTCACCAGACTTGGTGGAAATACCATTAATATGTGTACAAGTCTGCACACAGTCAACCGGTAGGCCTATCAAGAAATACCCCTCGTCTCTCTCAAGAGTCTTCAGGTGAGGAAAAAAGTAAGATAATGACGTTACCATATTTTGGAATGAACGGAAAATGCAAGGCATTACAAAAGACCTGTTGGTCAAACAACTGAAGGCTAATCTTGGTGACCGACAACACCTGTTATTGGGTAAAAATCTGAATGGTGTCAAATACTTTGTGCAAGCATTCTACTGTACCGGTACATGCGTCTTTAAGACCAAATCCTACCTTTGATTCGTTAGAAATGTCTTTCATGCCTTGGAAGACCCTAGCTTTGCAGCATGTTCCACAGTTGCTCCAGGGGGGACGGATGAGAAGCCATGTGAAGGGACTACTACAAGGAGCTAATTTCTCCGCGCTGGAAAAGTACTTGGCGGCTCTGCTCCCGTCCTTACACAAGGAAGACTCCACTGAAAATGAGATTAGATATTGAAAAACATAAAGCAGAGGAATTTCAAGAAAACTATACATGAATATCACAAACAAGAAGACTATATAATTAGACCAATGACTGAAACATTTCTATTGGTTGTTGCTTGAATGGATATGGAGAAGATAGGGATCAATACTTATGAGAGACTGAACTTGAAATCATGGTTACCAAATTGACATTCAAGATATATTAATTAAGTCTTGAAGAGGCTGTACATGTACATTCCTTGATATAATTACAAAACCATTATACAAGTTTCTTTTATTTCTCACCTCCTTCACTATACAAATATGCTACACCAAGTTTAATCAATGCTTCCAGGTTTCCTAATTCAGCAACCCTGTAGAAAACATATAATGAACACAAAGAAAAAAAATCAATAAACTTCTTTAAAGTATAATCAAAATTTAGGAATATAGTCTAAATCAAGAGTGACGTATCTAAACCATCACTTGGAAACAATGATGGTTTCATACGATTTACAACTATTTCATTCAAAATCAATTAAATTACCCAAAGCCATCCTTCTTTAATTGCATTAGTACATTCCAATAAAACATGCAGGAATATGCTGCATGTCTGTCCTGATAATGTATATGTATAGCTAGTACAATATTAAATGTCTTTTGGTATGCCAAATTTTGGCTACTGGCAGGTGTATTTAATAAAATCAGTAACCTAGCTGTACATTAAGGCTGCGACGGGTAGTCGACTGCTCGAGTACCTGCACGGTTGACAACTACTCGGGTACGATTTCTCGTACCTGAATATTCGGCCGCAAAAAAAAAAAAAATTAAAATAAAAATTTTTTAAAAAATAAAAAATGTCCAGGCCCACGCTTACCCGTGCCAGGGAGAGCGGCAGCCGCTGGCATGGTACCGTCGGTAAAAATGTTTCCCAACTCAAGCACTGTCAAACTCACCTTTCAGAAACTGGGACCAAATGTCCAGATTCTCTTTGGACTTGGAGGAAAATGGATTATTCTGCCATCTTTGGTTTTTAAAACAGCATTGTTTACTGTTATTATTCTTATTAAATCGGCGCCTTCAACTGCAACTCAAAGTAAAATTGCATGTGTTTTCGGCGAAATTCAAAAAAATTCAAAAAAATTATAAAAAAACATGGCATCCGAATATTCGAGTATTCGCTTGTGAGCCTGGGAGTGTACTCGGGTACCTCATTACACTGTTGTGCACAGCCCTACTGTACATGTTGGAAAGGTTTGTCAAGTGGTTTTTTTTACCCTCATGCATACACATGTTTTTTTTTTATGTACTCATTGATTAACTGATTTGTGGTTAGATGCATCATTTGGAGATTAAAATTATAGTCATCACAGAAGTCATTTGACTTTAATTACCAGATGGAAAAGTTTCTTCATGATCATGGTTCAAATGATTTCCACCGTTAGTACCACTGTATGGCATCCTTTATTTGTAGAGGTACCTACCTGTTGAAGCATTCCATTTCAGTTGAGTTGGAGGGCCACCTTCCTACTACGCTGGCATTGGCCCATATCCTTGGGGTAGAGTCAAGCAGCCATTTGAATTGTTTGCTTATCTGTGTTTTGAATAGAGAAGAACAACGTAAATGGTGAGGTTAGCACTATACTGTGTACTTTGCCATTTTCATGTACTATTGATTGAGCTTGTTTCATGAACCACACATAATTTTTTTGGTACATGAAATTTCTTGTTCATAATTTAATTTTTTGAAATTTATTTGAATATCAGGTACATGTATAAACAAAATAGAAATGACAACACAGAGCATATAACATTAAGAGTTACAAGACAGTGAAAATGCCACCAGCGGACGCCTGAGGATTACCTAAAAGAATTTCCATTCTGTCATGAGGTTCTCCACATCCACTGGTGTTACATATAAATAGATTTAAGAAGTAACAGTAAAATAACATAACATAATTCAAATTCATCCATCAAGCATAATAACTAATAGAAGATCTACATCAAATGTAAGTAATAAAATGTAATGAAAATCATATGCTTGAAGCGTGATCTCTGAAATGCATGGACTGTTCATCTGAGGTCTCGCTTTCAGAAGTTTATACGATGAGAAAACCTACCCCCTACCTTACAGTCAACAGGAACATTCTGTAGTTCTGCCTGACTGCCTCCATGCATGACGGGACTCAAACCACCTGAAAAACGGGTCATGAATGTGCATGGGGTACGACTTTAACACTTTGGTTGCTCTTTGTGCCTTTCTCTGCCTTATGTGCTCAAAACAATAGGCTCCAATTTACAAAAAGATTGCTTCATGCAACACACTCGCTTAGTCGCTTTGCAAAATTACCAATTTTCTGTCTAGTTCAGCTCCATGACAACCAGGTATAGATTAATCTCGCACTAGAAACAGTTAAATAATCTTGAAGACTTTCCCATCTTTCCCATTATAAATTATCTGCCACAGCCAACAGGGAGATTATGTGTGGTATGTAAAGAGTTGAGGTGTAATAATAGCCTTGTACTGTTGTACATGTGTATCTAACTATCTCATCTGTAATCTAAATTGATCTGAAAGGTTGTATTATAAAAAAAAATAAAAAAATAAAAAAAATTGCAATGTGATAGAAATTTACTGATAAAGAAAGAATTCTATTTCCCCTTCTACATGTACATGTACATGTAGATGTTTACTTACTCTATACATATTCTGGAGATCACACATAGGAAGGAATTTCAGTAGATAGATGAGAAGTTCGTCTGGGAGGTCAGTGAGCATGGTTTTTGGCAGCTTACTATTGCTCCTCAGAACCCGTACGTGGAGACTTGTTGCCCTCGACGACAACGACGTCGGTGACTGTTTGGTCATCTCAGATGATGACCTTGCAGGCAAGGTTCGGCTACAAGTATCTACGAATCATAAAAAAATGATAATCTTTACAACTACCTGTACATGGCCTAGATAGACCCTGGTTATAATTTTCAGGATCTCCTAGTCTCTTATTATTCATCTTATTCATTCATTAAGCCTAAAGGCATCAATTATAAGAACACTTTGTATGCTTGTATCATTTATGCTTTTATCTTTATTCAAACCAATATCAACATTCAACAACAAGAACTGTTCAATACAATTAAAATGAAATTATGAGACCTTGCAAAAAACGAAAGAAGTTTAAAAAAAAAAAAAGTTTTCATCCCAACTTTTAAAAAGAGTGTCTGGAGGTGTTTTGATCTTCTCAGAAAGTACCCATGATAAAATAATTTGATTTTTGTTTTCAGATTTTGTTGAAAATACTGTTAGTGTTGAGTACATCATACACCTACCACATTTCATGTCAATCTGTGCATTTTGTTTGGCATAATTTTCAAATTCTTGAAAGTTTTTAGCAAAGAAAAATTCAAAATCATGGACAAATGAAATGGCATAAAACATTTAGTGTGTCTGTAATCCTGCATACGTCTCTGTGCAGTTGTAAGGGGAGGATATTCAAATTGTAAAATTTATGTAATCTCATAACAAAATTGATTAATTCCCCCCCCCCCCAAAAAAAAAAAATCAAGATGACCAAGTTACAATCTAGTTAGATTTACTTTAGTTGATGATACGTGTTAATTCTTACATCTAGATCTCGTAGTAGATTGATTTAAACCTCAACAAAGTCAAATGCAAAGGAGTCATTTTAAAAATAACTTGATCTGCTGATCAAATTTCAAATGGGGAAATGGCAAATCAAACACTTGTCGATCACTTCGTCTTTGTGATCAGAATCTCACTCTCAAAATAAATGGTGACTTATCATTTGAAAATATTAATTGATACAAATACATTTAAGGATTACTGTTTGGGGAGATATCTTCATTTGACAGATGCACAAAAAGAATTTTTTTTTGTATTAAAGTCGAAGTTGTCGGGGGAAGTAGTGAAAAGCCAGTCGCTCGCGCTCCAGCTCCCAACGGTTTAAAGGCCAACGGCTCAACACACAGCCAGGAGTGTCGGCGTGCCTTCCCACCAACGACTGCATGAGCGGCTTTCAAACTCGAAGAATGGACTTACTTACCAAAGCCCTTATAACCTGAAATTAAAAGACATCTCACTGCTCATTATTCAAACTATGGTTGAAAGATATGTATCTTACCCCTCATCTTTTGAGAAGACGATTAGCTGCACTCAGAAGTAGAAAAAGAGCTATAATTTTGAAAAATATTTACACATATCGTTGGTGGCGGCCGCCTTCAGTTAGCTGTGAATAGTATAGTGCATCATTCATTCATTCAAGTTTAGCGCGTCTGCTTTCAATGAATACACATGCCAGCCGTTTGTGTTTACGTCCGTTATGAGCCTCGGCGGCCGTGATTGGCCAAAAGAATTGCGCTTCCATTAGAAGTACCCGCCCACCCTTGAGGTCAACGGAAATACATGACCTTTCACATTTACTACTTCCTGACGTCATCGTGTATGTTTTCGTGCTACGTTGATTTCTGCTACGATCCAAATCCACGTAAATTAATGTTCAAGCTAACATAATTTTCATATCTAAAGCTTAAAGAAGGAATTGATGAAATTGTGACGAGCAGGACGGTCATCAGCATTCTACATTCGAGATGGGAAGTTCAGACTCGAAGCTGAATTTTAGGAAAGCAGTTGTACAGCTGACAACGAAAACACAGGTGATTTCTAATTCTAGTTTCTACGTCAACATCATACACGTTCTCCAATATGCATGCATGATATGTATTGAGTTGTTAATAATCGAGGTCGATGTACAGCTGGTAGTGGTACAGTGGCACTGGTGGTAGTGGTAGTGGTACGTGGTAGTAGAGTGTCACGTCACTGTCCATCATTATGGATTGGATGTGTTTAATGAGAAATAAATAAACTGTATTACTACTACATGTAGGAACAGAACAAAAATGTAAGAAGGGTTCTTTGGCAGTTTGGGGAGAGCTGGAGTGGGGGAGGTTTTTTAAAAAAATAAATTTAATCTTAGGAAGTTAGGGGAGGGGGAGAGTTTCAGGTATTTCATGTTATATTGTTTCTGTTCTGTCATTATTTGTCCTAACGTATGAGCTTGTTTTTGTATTATCTATAAAATGTAATTTTTTGCTCCTCGACCACTGTCGACGTGCACACAAAGTGCGAAATCCTTCAAGGCCTTGATTGAGGCAGCACTTTCCTTGGAAGAAGAAGAATTTTTTTGATGGAAGCACGATAAACAATATTTAAAACAAAAAGTCACTGTCCTGCATTGCAGTAGAGGTTCTACTCCTCTAGAGTATACTAATCTATGTATGAGGAAGATGGAAATCAGCAACCAAGTTTGTTTGTTTTTTATAAATGAATAATTTAGGACTTTATCAGTATTTTTCTCTGTCAAACTTTAAGGTTACCAAGTGCTGTTATTCAAAATATCAATTATTAACTTTTGCATTTTCTTTTGAAAGAATCAACTTCATTTTATGTCTTGGTTAATCATGTTTGTCATGATTCTTAATGAGTCTTTTACACTGACATGAATTGAGTTTCATTTCCTAATTTGAATAAATACCGGTCAATGAAATAATGAGAGGAGATGGGGAGGGGAGCAGAATGCCAGAAATTTTATTGATATTAGCACTTTTTTGTCATTTTGAAATTTTCTGGAAATTAACCTTTTTTAAAAACATAGGAAGTATTTGCTGTTATATTTTAGACATCCCCAAATCAAAAGATTTCTAAACGTAGCTCATGGTACATGTACATGTGTGTAGATGCTTCTTCTTCTTCCTTGTCATCGTCTTCTTCGGCATCATCTTCTTTTACTTCTTCGTCTTCTTTTCCCCTCGGATTTATCATAACTTGACTGGTAAGAAAGTGATCTCAAATTTTTTTAATTTCATTTTTTTTCCTTCTGATTTTGTTTCTTTCTGCTCGGCTCCTATATATCACAGCCTGTAGAAGCAGGTGATGATGCATTCTGGGACCAGTTTTGGGCCGACAGCGTTACCAGTGTGACCGATGTCTTTGCACTCATCCCGGCCGCCGAGATCAGAGCGCTCAGAGAAGAATCACCATCCAATCTAGCAACTCTCTGCTACAAGGTACATGAACATGTATAGTCCAATTTCTGAATGGGGCCCTGTTTCATCAAATTTGTTATCACTAACAAGTTACAATAACTGTTATAAGATACTATTGGCAACTGAATGGCTGAGAGCTAATTTGTCATATAATTTTTTATCCTTTGCTATCGATAACAAGTTATATAAAACATCTTGTGTCTGCACTTAGGTATTTATTGGAGCATTTTTAGTTTCTCTATATATAGAGTGCAACCTCCTTCCATCATAATACTCCAATAGGTTGGGGTTAATTTAGATGTATGAATTCACTTGCAGTTTTCCGTTTTAAAAGCAAACAAAGCACATGTACTCTGGCTTTAGCACTAGTTAATTAATTCAGTCTCCCAGTTCTCCATTCCTTAGCTTGTATGACTTCTTTTTGATCCATCACATATACAGCAAACTGATACTAAATAAAGTTGTCGTGGTTCATTCACTCAACTCTCAATTTAAGGGTTGAGGATTTGAATCCCATCCCAGCACTCACGTCTGTTGGCAAGACATTAATCTGCATTTACCACTCTTCACCCAGGTGTAAATGTGTACCTGGCAGCTGCTGGGGTAATGATCATTGCAGGGCCCTCAGGAAGAATGGCATTGAAGCCGATGAGGCTTTTCTGGGTAAACAAAATTGATTGAATTATAGAGCAGGCACAATTGCTCAGTTGGTAGAGCAGGTTCAAAATCAAGTCGATGCGCTAGTGCCCTTTGGTACTTGGCATTAATCCTCATTACCAGGTCCCTCGGAGTGGACCTAAAGCCATCGGTCCTCTGGTTGCTTAGTAACAAGCATTTATGCTTTCTTAGCAGTCGGGTAAAATAACCACCAACATTAACCATCACCACTAATGTATTATTATAATCCACCCCTCCTTATTGTTTCTTGAAGGCTGTTGAGAAGCTGGTATCCGCTGCTGAGTCGGGATGCTCCGCCCCTAGAGACCAACAGGTGGTGCTCAATGCAGCCCGCCTCCTCACCCGTATACTCCCTTACATCTTTGAGGATCCTGATTGGAGAGGATTCTTCTGGTCTACGTTACCCGGCCAATCGGTGAGTAGCTTATATAAGATGTTCAGCTTGCGAGGGGGTACTACAGCATCCATGAAAAATGTTTGGCATCCTGAATGACTTCCTAGCAAACATCTTCTTCAGATACATGTATACTTAGACTGTTGCATTCTAAAACAAAAGTATATTCCTTCAAGGTAAACAAGATATGCAACGAAAAATTGTGCATAATTTCCTTCAATATAGCTGACTGACAGATTTCATTGCTCATGCTCATAGAAATCGGTTTCACTTGATAGTAACAGTATGAAAGGGAAATACATGATTTTTTGTTGTTGTTGTAATAATTTAGCTGTTGCAGTCCTAAAACCTCTCATTAAGAAATAAAGAGGGACATACATGTACAGTGTATAAAAGCCCTAATCGTTCATATCTGTTTATTATTGTACCATCCTCATTCTCCGAATTGTCCTTTAATCTCTTATAAAAACTTACCCCCCCCCCCCCCCCCCCAAAAAAAAAAAAAAAGCTGTTTGTAAATGCATTCTTTGTATTTGCACTGGTTCTTGATACTAAAAAATATTCATGATTTGGAATCTCTTTCCTGCAGGCCTTCTTTTTAATTTCACCCTTCTTAAAGATATCAAATGCAAATTCTGTCTCAGTACAATAGCTCAAATCAAAAGCATGTTGGAAATCAATCATAACTTATCTGATGGTCTATATGATCTTTCTCAATATATTTCACAAAATATGCTGCACCCATGTTTCTTGTGTTTTAAAGCAATCTATTGGAACTTGCCATTTCATTTGAGAATTTGTAATTATTTTTTTAACTGAGGTGTCACTTTTCTCTTTCCTTCTTTAAACATGGTTTTTACTCCTCTGTAAAGCATGGTGTATGGAGAATATGGATTCATTGATCTTTTTCCTGTTTCATTTTTCCTTCATGGTTGCTTTTCCTTCTCATAACTAGGCAAACATGGAAGGGTTGGATGATTTTGTAAGTTTGCTGTGTTTTTTTTTCCTCCACTAACTTGTAGAGTTGCTTCAAATAATTTTGTCTGCACTAGCCCCGCTTCGCCCCTAGTCATCTGATTTTGCTCACAACACTTGCATCTGTACATGTAGGAACTGAAAATCCGGATTTTATACGCTTTTAGATCATTACATTGTATGATGACTTTCGTCACATCTCAAAGTGGCAACATCCTCTTGACCTATTGGCCACAAAAGAATATCATTTGGTCTCTGGTTCTTCTACTTTTCTGGGAGTTTGCAAATGACGAAGAGTCTTCTAACCAAAATATTCATTCTTGGAGGCCTTCTTACATGTACACGACATGGATTTCATGTTAGTTGTCATCTAAAAAATCAAGTAGGTTTTTACTGCAATGGAATAATAAAAGAAAAATAGTAAACTTGATATTATAAGCCATCAAGATGTTCCTTTACACTAGTATCCTGTAGTCACTGTTGTGTTAGCGCAGTAAGTAGCACTGTTTTAGTTGTCGAAATGCATCGCTAGCAATGAAGTAAGAAGACTAGCTTCCAATTTTTCTAGATAAATGCTAATGAATGAAAAAAGATACTTCTAGTCTGCTTTGCCATTTAGTTTGCACATAGATATAGCCCTAATTTAATGTTAGCCATTTGTTTTACAACATTGTTGAACATTTGTATACAATTTGTAAATTAGAGTATGACATTTTTTGGCCTTAAATTTTTTTCTGTGCTGAACTATGCATTTTCCTCAAAGAGAAGTCTTCATTCTCCTCCACTTTTTTTTGGCCTATAAATATCGCCCTCTTTTCCTGTTATTGTTGATAGATGAGAAGTTCATGCAATAGTATTGCCCTTGCAGGCTTGCACCTCTCGAAATTTAATATCAAATAATCAAACAGTCAACTAATTCAAAAAAATGTCTGTACGACAATCATATTAAATGATGAATTTTCCCTCAGTCTGAATGCTGTACAGCAAAACGTTACATAGCCAATCACTTCTTTGAGCATCTTTTCGAACAAAAATGCAGTGAAAAATCGGCATCCTGCTCTAGTCTGAAAATCCTATCATATGAAAATCATATAACTGGGCAGGGCTTATCTTGAGTGTCAGTTGACCTCTTCAAAATTCATATCTCTATACAATGTTCCTTTAATGCAATGTTGTTTTCTAGTACATTTGTACAACAATGCACACACCCCCAGTATAGTACGATAATACTCTGTAAAGAGGTCCATACTCAAAACGGAAGAAGAAGAAGAAGAAGAATGTAGAGGCTATTAATTTGCAAAGATGTCCACCACTGCACAAAAATCTGTTGCACTTGGTACATTGCCGTAGCAACGTCATGGTTACCGGTACTGTTCGTTTTGTGTTGTAGTCATTATTTCTTGTACCAGAACTATATATCAGCTTGTAGCATTTCTATTAAACTTGCAGTCATAAAATGAAGTTCTACAAATTTCATTCACATGGCCGTTTTTGCAATCAGCTGTGTGTACATGTGTGCATATTTATGAATCTTCACGACTGATGTGCCTTGCACCTTGCACCTGAGTTTGTTCTTTTTCCCATTCACTGTAGGATTTTTTTTTGCAAACAAATATATACATTGTACAGGTTGTACATGAAGGACAAATAATTGCTTTAAGTAGAGAGTTGTGTTTTTCACAGAATAAGAAAGTTGTTTCTCGTTTGATGGGACACTCTACAATAGGGACTAAAGTTGGAGATATATTTTATTAGTTTTATTATTTATTTCATACTTGTAATCTTTCCCACTATGAAGTAAGTAGTAGGGATAGAAAATACCGAAAACTGGTGTAACTTGTAAATGCATTTTTATTTTCCCCCATTTTTACTGCGTTGTTGTAGTTATCCCAGCTGGTATGCGATGTTGATCTACATTTACCAAAAGATAATTTCCTGAGGCTGGTTTGTACACCTACAATTAGAGAGTTTTACGTCTCAACTCAGTTTGCAGTCCAAAGATTAACAACATTTTACTTTGTTTGATTTCTAGGGACATGTTCCCTGGTATGACTTCTAACTCAGAGTGTTTGTTTTTTTCTCCAGTTTACAGAATCTGCATTTGGTCACAATCATTTGATACTTTTTGCACTATTTCTAATCTCATGCACTTTGTTGACATGTGGAGGCATAGTGCTCAATTAGGAAATCAGTATTCTGAAAGCTCACATGTAAGTCCCCATTTCTAGTTGGCAGGAGGTGCGTTGCGCGTATGCCATGTTGCACAAATGTGATGTGTGCGCAGTAGTGGAAAGAAGAGTTTGGATATTCTGAAAACGCTGTTAGCACTGAAGTAACTAAAATAACATTAAAGATCTCCTTAGTTTTTAAATACACAGCTTTTTTTTCTTGCATTCCTCATGTTATTCGCAGGATTTCATTAAGCACTATTAAAGTCAGCATTCAGAATACCGATTTGGAGGTCTATAACACTGTATGTCTCAATTAAGTGTCAGGACTTAAAAAGGAAAGTTTTAAAAAGGTGAAGTGAGCTTTCACACTACTGCCATGGTCTTTTTTTGAAAGATGCAGTCCTTGCAGATAGTGGGATATTATTAATTGACCTTTGCCTCGGTAAAGGTCAAGGAGGTCATCAAACATATTGACTTGATTGCTTAGATATTAGAGTTCAAGGAGTTCCCCAAATGGTACAGTACACAGAGCTCTATGCAAACTTTTGATTTGAAGGAGGTCCAAATCATACATTACAGTCTGTGTGCATGAGCCCTATTATATGAACACATTTAAAAAAAATTGGGGTCTGGACTTCAACTGTGGGTGCCCATGTGTCCCAGGCAGCTGTTACTGTCGAGCCCCGCAGTACTACTGGAGTTATAAAATGATTTGGAGCTTTATACATTGTGAATATTTTATTTTGAAAAATTAGGCAACAGGTTGACAATATTCTAAAATGGTATATTGTAAAAATGTGAACCACCCTGATGAGGTCATGGGCTACAGCACTATTTAACCGTCTCGTGAAATTGAAAAATATTTGTCCTGAACATATTTTCATGGAGTTCTTGTGACTCATAGAATATCACAAATTGAGTAAATTAAAATGCTATTTTCTTCTTTTTTTATCCTTTTGAATTACACTTTTATCACTGGTGCCCTATTTTTTCTTCTATTGTTTACTTGTAATTACTATATTAATTTGTCTTACAGCTTAGAGAAGAAAACAAAATTGTGTAATATATAAAAGTCTGATGTACTGCAGTGCACTAGTGGTAGAAATTTATTATTGCTTATCTTGCAGTGTATCTTGAATAGATCTAGAGAACTTCCTCTCCGCCCCCCCCCACTCCCCAATGTGTACAATGTTTAGAGCCGAACAAATTGGCCCAAATTCACAAAAGAGGTTTGTCGACAAACTTCCATTTGTTTCGACAAACCTTCTTTTGTTGTTTACAAACCAAGGTTTGTAAAAACGCGTCGTATAACGCACATAAACCTTGGTTTGTCGACAAACCTCCTTTGTGAATTTGGGCCCGAGTGTTCATATGTTTGCCATACTAACAAGTCTTGTAGTACATAATTACAGTGTCAAGTTGTCAACATTCCAAACCCGATATTAATTTTTCTCCTATTAAGCACACTCAAGAAGTGTATGAGAGGTACATGATCTTTTCGGAGGCTCGCCGTACTGTAAAGACATAAAATGAAACAAAGAAATTAGAGTAAAATAGAACAAAACGTTCCTCATATATACATGTACATGTAATCATGAATTTGTACATGTAGATATTGTACTGTGCTATAAATATAAACCAAAATAATTCCAAAAGATTTTGAACACAATGTTTGACTGAAAAAGAAAGTAGGACCCTGCACTATATGTGTGAATATTTATTAAAGTTTGAGCAATGTTTTACAGCATCATGCACACTGTACATGTCATGTATGTGAGTTTTTATTTGCCTGTATGATGTGTTGTTCGCATTAATGCAACAAATTGGAATTCAGTGTTTTATAGTAGGTTGCATATTAATGTTCAGTTCATAAAGTAATAATGTCTTCAACTTGACCATTGCCTACAGAATTCTTCATATCAAGACAGCAGTGAATATATATCTGACCATTTGTATGATTGCTATCTATCCTTGTAGAGCGATGAGGAGTCCCTGCCTCTGGCTCAGTCTCTCCTGGCTGCTTTGTCAGACCTTCTCTTCTGCCCTGATTTCACCGTGGTAGCTGCCAAGAAAGCTGGACCTGTAAGTATTCCAAGATGGCCAAGGTCCATTGTGATTGATCTATCTTACTCAAACTGGATATTTGTAGCATCATGTACATGTAACACATTATACAAGTAATTCATTTTTTGCAGGTGCACTGTATTCACTGCACGCAGGTTAAGGTGCAATCGGATTACGAGCAAGATTTAAATTATGTGTATAATGTGTAAATATATAGCATTTGTTTTATTAAAAGGGTCTAGAATATGAATTTGAAGTCAAATAAGCGACAAACGTGATAAAAATGCCACGAATCGAACAGTCATGAGTCCGTTGTCTGCCTTGAAGTGTTCATGGTTCTGATCGCTGGCCAACAAAGAATTAAATGATATTTTAAGATTCAAAGATTTGTGTATGCGTAATATGTCTGGGGGATGTATCTTTAGTCAACTGTGGTAATCCCCCTTTCCTTCCATTGGTCAACCTAAGAAAAAATAAAGAGATATCATACAGTGGTATAATTCTTGTTTCAGGAAGATGAGGTCCCGGGTTCAACTTCTAGACAGGTTGCCAAACATGATGATTATTTTATTTCCAGGCAAGATGATAACATTCAAAACATCACAAGGTTGACAACAAAAAAATACTGCTTATGTTTATTGCTGTCTGGTATTTTATTACTGAATTCCAGCCTGCTTGTAATTAGACTTTTGCCAAAAATTTGATTTGTATTCCCATGATGATAATGAACATGTATAACCATGATTCTTAACAATATTTCCCACTTGTTTGCCGATAGGAGAAGCCTGAGGACCCTCAATCCATAGACAGCTGTGAGTACATCTGGGATGCCGGGGTGGGGTGCGCTACTGCCCCGCCCCACTTTGCCCACCTGGATCAGAATCGGACTGAGATCCTTAAGCTTCTCCTTACCTGCTTCTCAGAAACCATGTACCTTGCTCCAGCTAGTAAGTACTCATCAAATTGGCAACATTAAATCTGTGTCATAATTTAGAGGAGATGTTCAGTTTAGCTAATAACCTGTGTCTAAGAAACAGCTCACACTCCAGCTAGTAAGTACTGATCATCAAATTGGCAATATTAAATCTGTGTCATTATTTAGAGGTGATGTTCAGCTCAGCTACATGTAATAACCTGTGTCTATTATTAAAGTAGATATTCATTGATTTTAAAAACTAATTTTATTTTCATTATTGCAAAATTGAAACTTTGATTCGACAAGTGTATCAAAATTCAATGCTTGGAAACATTCGAAGTAACGATTATTATATTTTACAAAACGCTTAAATACAGCCCCGGCATAGCACCTGAAGAGCTCTCCGAACGCTGCTGAGATGTGTGAGATCACAGTATGGACATGATTTGCACAAGCAGACGATGTTCCATGACATCTCACACATTTTCAGTGCCTGTGTTTTCATCTTCTCTTGAGTTCTTTCTCTTACTTCACTACCGTCAGGCTAAATGTATAATCTATTGCCTCACTCTAAACCCCGCACATGGTTTTATTTTAATGACAAATGCAGCGATACAAAAATAAAGGAATCTGACGCTTGTAAACAAAATAAGACGCCATTGTATATTCAGCTGCACACATCCCGGTATGTTCGGCGTTTCAAGAGGGAACAAATGTCGTCCTAAGTATCATTCCGCGGGGTTTTCACTTTGAAAGTCTGGTTTCTTTGATTGTTAATTAACCCCTATTCTGTGTTTTCACAAGCAAAAGATCTTAGTTATCAGAATCGGGTCATATCCCCTTTTGAATGGTTTGACATGCCATTACATGTATATACACACTGAACTCATTATAATTTGACAAATAATAGCTTTGCACTTATGTTCATTCTCTATGGGATGTCGTCTGCTTGAGCAGTGTTGGTCCATATAGTGACGTCATTAAACATCGTTATTTTTTCCGGCAAATCTCTTGTATATATCCCAGCTGCTATGGAGGTGGTTGTATTTGTATTTTTATAAATCACCCGATATGTAGTTGACCTAAAACTTGTACGATGGCCATCTGTTAGCTTACCAGTTTCTGGTAATACATTAGTTGACATATTTGTGATTTTCTTTGAATTTCACCTTAAGAAACAGCTCACACTCCAGCTAGTAAGTACTCATCATCAAATTGCCAACATTAAACCTATATCATTATTTAGTGGTCATGTTTTGTTCAGCTAATAACCTGTGTCTAAGAAACACTGCTCACACTCCAGCTAGTATGAGCTCATCGTCAAATTGGCAACATTAAAGATAAACTTGAGTTCTGGTAAAAAAAAGAAAATGAATTCTCACAGAATCTAACGAAACTTACACTGAATGTTCAAGATTACAAATAAATGTCATGTGCCAAACAATTTTGGAAGAAAATGTATACTGGCTGAGTAATGAGCATAGAAAGTTAAGGAAATCAAGGTAAGTAGGCCCGACACCATTTGTTTAGTCCCATATACTTCTTTCTGTTTACAGTGCTTGTTACTTTACCAAGACTGGGCCAAATTTATGATGATTTTGATGACTCCAGAACCTTGCATTACACACCATTACTTACATGCTATATGATCAACTTTTCTGATCCATTCCACACCTTTTCTTTCACAATGCAATCGCATCACCGGTACTCAAGTTTATCTTTAAACCGATATCATTATTTAGAGGTCGTGTTTGGTTCAGTTAATAACCTGTGTCTAAGAAACTTAGCTCACACTCCAGCTAGTGTGAGCTCATCATCAAATTGGCAACATTAAACCGATATCATTATTTAGTGGTCGTGTTCAGTTCAGCTAATAACCTGTGTCTAAGAAACACAGCTCACACTCCAGCTAGTAATTACTCATCATCAAATTGGCAACATTAAATCTATATCATTATTTAGAGGTCGTGTTCGGTTCAGCTAAATAACCTGTGTCTAAGAAACACAGCTCACACTCCAGCTAGTAAGTACTCATCATCAAATTAGCAACGTTAAACCTGTATCATTATTTAGAGGTGATGTTCGGTTCAGCTACTAACCTGTGTCTAAGAAACACAGCTCACACTCCAGCTAGTGTGAGGTCATCATCAAATTGTCAACATTAAACCTATATCATTATTTAGACGTGATGTTATAACCTGTGTCTAAGAAACACAGCTCACACTCCAGCTAGTAAGTACTCATCATCGAATTGGCAACATTAAATCTATATCATTATTTAGAGGTCGTGTTCGGTTCAGCTAAATAACCTGTGTCTAAGAAACACAGCTCACACTCCAGCTAGTAAGTACTCATCATCAAATTGGCAACGTTAAACCTGTATCATTATTTAGAGGTGATGTTCGGTTCAGCTACTAACCTGTGTCTAAGGAACACAGCTCACACTCCAGCTAGTGCCCTAAATCTCTGTGTATAAGGCGCACCTGTGTATAAGGCACACCCCTATTTTGGGGGCCAAAAAAAACAACAAAAAAAAAACACAGCTCACACTCCAGCTAGTAGGTACTGATCATCAAATTGTCAATATTAAACTTATATCATTATTTAGAGGTGATGTTCGGTTCAGCTAATAACCTGTGTCTAAGGAACACAGCTCACACTCCAGCTAGCAAGTACTCATCGTCAAATTGGCAACGTTAAATCTATATCATTATTTAGAGGTGATGTTCGGTTCAGCTAATAACCTGTGTCTAAGAAACACAGCTCACACTCCAGCTAGTAAGTACTCATCGTCAAATTGGCAACGTTAAATCTATATCATTATTTAAAGGTGATGTTCAGCTAATAACTTGTGTCTATTACACAGCTCACACTCCAGTTAGTATGAGCTCATCATCGAATCGTCAACATTAACCTGCATGTATATCATTATTTAGAGATATCCGATAGGCTGAAGTTTGAAGTTTCATGCTTTAATTTTAACGGTTTTTAGTAGGTCATGATTTATTTATACATTGTACATTTGACAGACACTGTTGACAAAGATTCTTCCATCTTGTTTCTGCCTCCATCTTTCACAAAATTTGCTGTTCCAACTGACTCATGAAAGAAAAGTAATATGAATAAACATTTTACTTCTCTACCATCTAAATGTTACAACCTACGAAATGCTAATGTGTTGATGATTAACTCTGCCATGATACTAGTCATATCTTGAGTCCTTCCTTTCTAATGAGTGAGAATAGTAATACCATGGATTTGAACCAGCTCTTGAAGTGGATCGTGAAGCGGCACTTGAGCCATGACCTGCTGATAATATGAGGGCACTGCCGTATAGTGTTTCCTTTCAGTCATAACTTCCTGATTCAGAATTTATAAAGATTAGGCCTGTACAGATTGAACATATTTTGTCTGCAGTTGCCTCTCTGGACCCAGGTTTTGTCCAATGAAGAGGTGATATTTCCTGTATGCAATGTGTGCACATGTAGCTGACAGTTTTTAGAGATAAAACAAATAAAAGCATGCCTGCATTTGAGGCAGAAGCAATTATTCAGATTTATTATTGGTTCTAGAAATCCTTGTAATTAGTAATTTCTTGTACTGGTACAATGTGGTTGTTTACTCATAACATGTTATTAGAGGTCTCTACAAAGTGCTAATGGAGTAAGATTAAATGTTTATACATGTACATGTACAAATGTAGTTCTCTCTGTTTCCCTTCAATTGTGAAGTGTGCATAGGAAACATTGCACTCTCATATTATTTAATGGTGTATTTATAATAAAGTCTGCCTTTCAACCTAAGCTGAATTGAACCATTTTTACAAATACAATCAAAATGCATACATGTTCATGTACATGTATCAGACCTGCCAACCAGTACGATTTAGTCGTATTTAGTACGATTTTTAGAAGCAAATACGACAGTACGATTTTCCTTAATAAAATACGATTTAAAAAAAAAAAAAATTTAATTAATATTTTGTGAGCGTCCGCCATTTTCAATGGCAAAATGCCCATTCTATCCCGAAAAGTATCCTACAAGCATCTCACATCGGCAATTTGGGGATGGTTATTGGTTCATCAAACACACCAGTCGTGACGAAATAATGCATATTCAACCAATGATCAATACAAAAAATTCTTCCTGTAGGTAGAAACTGTAAGAGGCATTGATCCGCATAACAATCCGTGTTTATTTTCAAGAATACAACTTTTGTGAGTAAAATACAACTTTTGACACTAAAGAATACAGTTTTTGAACTCCAGAGGTTGGCAGGTCTGCATGTATGTATAACAATTCATAACAATAATATACCATTATATTATAAGGAATAACAGAGTCATATTTTATTTGGCATGGTAAATGTGAATCATCATAATATAAGGTATGTGGGTCAAAATAGAAGTAAAACAGTAAGGAAAAGAACAAAAAGACGGATGAAGAGAAGGGAGAGACTGAATGTGGAAGGCATATATTATGGATGAATGAGTGGTATATGCATCATCTGACATGATTCTCTTAATCTTCTTAAACCTTTAATAACCTTAAATCTGCATTATGTGGAATATTGTTGTTTATATTTTTGTCATTTATTGTGGTATGTTTTTACAATTTTATATCTGTATTCTTTATAGGTGATGCACACAGCCTGCCCAATCAGTGGATCAGCTTCTTTTGCTCATCAGACAACAGGTGAGTCTTGATCAGTTTGAATGGATTGAAAGGTATGGACAAGATTCAATAAGCCAGTCTGTAGATCTATACAATCTGCTCATCGGCAGATAAAGGTCATTTGTACCAAAATTGTTGATTTCACCAAGATGAATACTGGATACATGCTCATAAAAGTTATGTAATCAATATGCACTGAGCATAAGGAGCGCATTTGGAAGTATTCTTCAAAAGAGAGCAAACAAAAAGGTATTCATGAAACATATCCATGACTTTGGCAGCAGTTATTCTAAAATCTAAAAATGGGACTGCTCCATGTGTAAAAGATCTGTGAATATTTGGGATCATTTGTACTAGATGTGCTACATGTAACTACAAAGTTTTCTATTGTGCCATGTGGGATATGTTATATTGAAATAAGCATCAAGTATTGCAGAAAAACACTGATGGATGTAATTAAATGATACCTTTCCCATCTTGTTTCAGACACGCCCTTCCCCTGTTCACCTCTATGATAAACATAGCCTGTGCCTACGACCCTGTGGGCTATGGAATGCCATACAATCACCTACTCTTCTCGGACACCAGAGAACCGCTGGTAGAGATCGCTTCACAGATCCTGGTCGTTACCCTCGATCATGCAAACCCTCACAATGTTGCATCATCGGTAGACGGTGCAGAAGAAGTTCACGAGGTAATCTTCCCCACAAAACATTAGCCTTAGCAGTTCAGAGTATTCTAAAGGTTAAAGGTCAAAATGAATCAGCTTTTCTTCCTCAAATTGGCAACAATTAGTTGTATTTTCAACTCTTTCATACAAAAATAAAAAATATGTATATTAAATTAATTAGTGTGAATGAAATTTACAACAATTCAACAAGATATATATAGATATATATATATATATATATATATATATATATATATATAAGATTGCACCGCAGTTAATTTCCAGCCACCATAGACTTCAACCCTAAACAATACACTAAAGCCTAAGACCTAAATTATAATCCAATTGTAAACATACATGTAGCCCTGTATTTTTAAATAAAACTTGGAGCAAATGTATCAGTTCATCCTTAGCGGTCCCAATAATGTTGAAGAAATTGTCAAATTTATCTATGAAATGAACTTTCAAATTTTGTGGCACATCATAGGAATTGTACTACATGTACCATGATTGTTGACAAAGATTATAATACATGTACATTCTCCCCTCTAAAACATATGCAATCTCCAGATTACTTTAAGTTTCTTTCCTATGCTTTAGGGAGTGTTACCAGAGAATTTGTTTGTGAACTACCTGTCCCGCATCCATCGAGAGGAAGACTTCCATTTTATCCTAAAAGGCATCACAAGACTCCTGAACAACCCCCTCATACAGGTAAGAAAAAGAACTTTGATGATAATGATGGCTTCTTGTGTAGCACCAGTCTCTGCTGCCTCTGGTAGGTGCTCGTCACGCTTGCTCTACCATGCGTCACAAATTCAATGATCGTGGTCAGTGTTTCAAATTAAGATACCAACAATTTTCCATTAGTCTTTGTTGGCATTATGGGAAAATTTATGAATCTTTAATACATGTTTTTACAAAATTTACTCTGAAGGTCACTAAACCTGGACCAATCATGATTCCTAATTCTTACCCTAGTTGAATATCTTTGATGAAATGTAACCTTGTGATGGTATTCTGAGCCTGGTTTTATCTCTAGAAAATATTTTATTTTAGTTTTAAAATGTAATCGCATTGCGCTATGACCCATGCGTATTGAAGATTGTAAGAATAATGCAATCACATGCTCTTGCACCCAAGAGATTGGCAAATAGTGAATCTATTGTTTGAGCATGGTGAGAGTAACATCTTACAACTTTTCTTTTTGGATATCAGTTCACAAGTGGGCATGTCTTAGTGAGATCAAATCTCACTAAAATGATTCTCAGAATACTAATTTTAAAAAATTGAAAGGGTATTTTATTTCACTGAGATGAAATCAATCTAAGAATACCATGCCTGAGCATTTGTCACTGGAGCAAATCTTGTAATAGGGGTTTCCTGATTCGTCAGAAAGACATTGGTGTGTATTTAGCATAGAAATGCAAGTGACCTGTGAACTCCGCATTTCCCCTGGACTTCCCGTATGACCACAACAAGAAGTTCCTTGTCCTTGTCCACAAGTACCAGTCCATACTCTGGAGGATAGCTTTAACTTTCTTGAAATTCCTTAGCCAGATATTCCTGCCTTGTTCCACCAGGAACTGCTTTATTCAGAGTCTGAATTTACCAATTAACATCAGGAAAATAAATGTTTCTTTTTGAAGAAATAACTTACTGGTTCCACTGAGAAGATAGCTTTTCGCCAAGAGTTATTGATTCCCTTCTGGAAGATCCACAACAAGATGATCCTCATATCTCCTCAAGTTCAGCACCTGTCTTCTGTAAAATAACTATTATTATGGCATTCTTGTATATCTTTCCTAGACCTATCTCCCTGGTTCCACCAAGAAGATAGCCTTCCACCAGGAGTTACTGGTTCTCTTCTGGAAGATGTGTGACCACAACAAGAAGTTCCTCTTCTATGTTCTCAAGAGCAGTGATGTCTTAGAAGTTCTTGTTCCCATCCTCTACCATCTCAATGATGCAAGGGCTGATCAGTGTAAGTCAATCAACTGATTATCAAGATATTTATGATAGAAAATCGAAATTTCATTTTGCATTTTCCTAACGGTTTTGATAACACTACAGTCTATTGGCAAAAATGAGTATCGTAAAACCGGTCAGTCAAAGATTTTTACTTTTTTGAGGCACGTCATGATTATTTTGAAGCAGAATTTTTTTTGTAGGGCCATGCATCTCAGATTTAACATTGTTAAACGATGCCTTTAAAGCTAAAACATTCGCGAATGTTACATTGTACTATGCTCTGGATCCACACCTTTGTGAATTCAGTGCATAGTGCTTTGGAATTCACCATGCAATGCACATGACATTATCACCCTTTCCATTGTTTTTCATTGCCATGATCATGCATATTGTTAATATAATCATTATGGAAACTTAGTTAAAATTCTGAATTGAAAAGAAAAATTGTTTATTTAAAGTAAAATTTGAAATTTTGACAGGAAGAACTAGGACCACTGCTTTTACTGGCACGAATTGTACATAGAGATAATGAGGTATTGAGCTATTGATTAGGAGAAATTATGTGATGTGCATTATATGAGACAAAAGGTACATCTTAGATGTGTATGAGTATAGTACAGAGGGTTCAATTTGATTTCCAAGGCATTGCTACAGTTATGAATATTTGAAAATATGATATTAAGTAGGAACATACAAACTAATATAAAGCCTTTATGATGTGACTATTTCTTACAGCTCGCGTTGGTCTGATGCACATTGGTGTTTTCATCCTCCTGCTCCTGAGCGGAGAGAGGAACTTTGGTGTCCGTCTCAACAAGCCGTACAGTGTACGCGTACCCATGGACATTCCAGTGTTCACAGGCACCCATGCTGATTTCCTTATCATTGTAAGTCAGAGGAGGTTTCCTCTTTGTATCTTGTCTATTTTTTTTATATTTTTGTAAAAGATTTTATGGAATTCTTCATTTTAGACAGTGTCAAATAAATGTGAACGAATTCTGGCAACATTATCTGTTGTGAATTTTGAGTATTACACCCATGTGTTTGTGTTATACCCTGAACTTCCTTCTTCATTCATCTTTTCATTATTTAGTAGACTAGTAATGTGGGAACACACTTCATTGAGAGTTGTCATGGTTTTAAGTATTATATTTATTTTTAAAGTTTATTATTGCCCAGAAACCCCTTTTTTTTATATGAATAAAAGCCCATGGCAAGATATATTTTACATGCATTATTGCCACTTTCAAAATCTTTAATGCATCTTAGCTCCAGCAGGGAAAAAAATTCAGGGGGCTATTTTTGTTTTTGATTGAATATGCAAATTTTAGGGGGCGATTTCGACATTTCGGGGCGAAGTGTATTGTTTTTCCCAGTCATACACATTCCTTTCCTCGCCCCATCCATTGTTCCTCACTCTGGTGAGACACTCTTCTAGAAGAAAAAAAATGTTGATGTTGTTGTTGTTGTTTGTTTGTTTTCAACTAGTAAAGTACAAACACACTAGATTGCTCTGACACATAGTTTTATTTGTGTAATATACAGGTATTCCATAAGATCATCACATCAGGGCACCAGCGATTACAACCCCTCTATGACTGTCTCCTGACTATCATTGTTAACGGTAAGAATAGTTTACATGTATGTTTGCCACTCTGAACCCAGGTTTGTAAGCTGATATGTAAGCAGGCTCTGCGACACATGCTCTGGCGACTTTTGCTCTGGATTTATCTTCCTGTATTAAATAAATTCCCAATTGAAATCATGGACCAAACACTGTAACATAAAGTCTAAGCCTAATTGTAATTATCACTACCCTAACTTTAAACCCAGAGCCAATATCATCCAAGCAACTGTTGTATCACTAATTTGTTTATTGTGGTTATATATTACCGGTATATACAATGTAGAATCTAAGTGTGGATTTGTGGAGATACATTAAGCCTGGTTTTTCTAATGTACATGTATATCTTCTAAAAACAACATGAGTGAAACAAATATATTGACGGGAGAACTATAGTGAATGCAAATGAACTGTTGTACAGCTACTGGAAAAATAGTATTGATTTTTGCTACCCACCAACTTCCAATCGCCTACTCACAAGGACTTTAGAAGTGTAGAAGCTTTTGTTTACCTTAATCAATGGTGCCAGCTTTAGACCAATTTAGGGCTTTGAGTAGCTTGTTAATCTATTGATGAACTTGGTGGTTTTTCATAAAGCTTTCAAGGCTCTTTTGTTAGACATTTTGCTATTGACAACAGAGTGTGAGTCATTCATTGTGTTCTAAATGGACAATAGGAAAGACTGTGTGTGCTGTGAACAATAGACGTTACTGCCATCTACCAACTCCCTGTAACTACCAAGCTCCTGAGGGCTATAGTATAGGAGATTTAAAGCCCTTCTTAAGTGAATCCCCAAAGATTTGATGGCAACATTTGACTTATAAAATTGTACCATTTATGAAAGAGAATGTCATTTAAGACACATTTCTGCAAAGATTTTTCAAAACAAATGTGTTTGAAATCGAAAATTGATGAAAGAATAATTTAGGTTTTCTGCGTACAACAGTACTAGTAAACCCAAATTATGTATTCTTTTATCAATATTTGTCTTCAAACACTTTTTTTTTTTTTGGGGGGGGGGGGATCAATCTTTACAGAAATGTGACTTAAATGACATCCCCCCTTCACATTATGATACAATTTAAATGAAATTTTGCCAGCAAATGTGGGGCAAATTTGGGACTCCCTACACTTTAAGAGGGGCTTTGATCCCTTTGGGACAAGATTGCACATTCTGTGGTTTTGCTTAAGTAAATTGATTCAGAGCCCTAAAAATTATATCAGATTCATGAAAAGAAATAGCAGAAATTCTTCACATATTGTGTCAATTTTTGTTGAATTTTTTAAAATAAATATTTAGTATTAGAGGGCAAAGGTCATAGGGTCATAAAAGTGTTTAAATATCATTTTTAATATACCATATAATATATTGTCACCGCAATAACTTATAAATCACCTAAGCCATTCAAGCCAAACTTGGATTAGGTATGTATGATCATGCAAGGATGAACTGATTAGATTGTGGGTGTAAGAGGTCAAAGGTGAAAGATCAAAAATGTTTGTAAATTGAATACCAGAAAATATCTCATTACTGTGATAATTATCGGAAATTGAACCAATGTTGACCAAACTGGGCTCAAGTATGTAAAACAATTAAGAAAAATTAAATGAAAAGCTTTGGGGTTTGCGAGGTCAGATATGAAAGGTCACTGGATCATTCATCAATAAATGTATATATAGGTAGAGTCATATTAGAGACACAGTCTGCTTCATCTTGTTGCTTTCTTCTTCTTTTTTGTGTGTGTTTGTCTCAGCTTGAAGATATACAAAAAGGAGGAACAATTACCATTATCAAATATTACTCTTGCTTATTATTTCAGTGTCACCCTATCTGAAGAGTTTATCGATGGTATCAGCAAATAAGATGCTTCATCTCCTGGAGGCATTCTCCACCCCGTGGTTCCTCTTCTCCAGCCCGTCAAATCATCATCTTGTTTTCTTCCTCCTTGAAATCTTCAACAACATCATCCAGTATCAGTTTGATGGTAAGAGCTAATTGCAGTGTGTGCCTCATGTGTGAGTCAGTTCATTATTCTTCATTATTCTTCATTAAGATCATTAAAAGAAAATCCAACCTTAATAGCAAACTGCTTTAAAAGAAAGCAGAAAAATTGCAGAAGTACGTTGGTGAAAGTTGGAATGAAATCGAACAAACAATAAGAAAGTTTAACATTTTGAAAGGTGTTACTACTATACGTACGGGGCATTCAAATTGGCTGAATCAGTAATTTTACTGTCATGTAGTGGCGGACAACTTTCCCATTTGTTCCAACTTGCAAATTCAATGAAATGTCAATCTTTCAAAATGACTAGGGAGGGTCTTTTCTTTTTAGCAGAGATGTAAAAATAAGCTATCCATAATATATTTTAAGTAGTGCCCTAAGGAAGAAGGAAATTACGTTAAAAACAGGAATTAATTATATTGTTGTGCTCGACATATGGGAGAGTTGTCCGTAGTCACGTCACAATCCACTGACCTTATTGCCAGTTTAAGATCAATATAGATTTAGTACTCCCATATTTCAAGCTTTCATAACTCTCTAATTATTGGGGCCAATTTATTTCAACTTTCACCAATGTGATTTTCTTGTACTTCTAAATAATATTAATAAAAGTTTATTAAACATACAAAAGTATATGTTCACATTTAAAACAAATTATTAGCAGGTTGAAAAACACTGGTCTAAACCATCATTCTTAAATGTACAGTCTTCCATCGGTTGGCCACCCTCCCCTCACATGTACATGGCATAAACATGCATGATATCATCTTCTTTTCTCACAGGCAACTCCAACTTGGTGTACACCATCATCCGCAAGCGTACAGTGTTCCATCAACTGGCCAACCTCCCTTCGGACCAAGCCTCTATCTCCAAGGCTCTGGCTAAGAGGAGTAAGAAGGTAGGCCCTAGTCCAGCTGCGGACTACACCGACCCTGCCTCCATGGAGGGGTCTATGCAGGCTGCAGACGCAGAGCCAGGAACCCTCAAAGCTACTCTCCTTGCTACGCCAGGTAAGGAGTCAACACCAGGGTTGTAAGGTCTCAAGACAATCTCAAAATCTATCTTTGTTGGGTCGTGGTCTTGAACCTCAACGTTTCGAAAAAACTACTCGAAGTCGAGATTATGGAACAGTGTACTATACCGTATTTGCCAGCATAAAGGCTGCAGCATTTTTGGAAGAGAAAATATCAAAAAGTCGGGGTGCGGCCTTTGCGGCGAAAAAGTAAAAAAAAAAAATCGCAAGTCAAAACCATGAAAAACAGCACAAATTTGTATGGGACAACAATGAAAGGTGATGGATATTTCTAGAATAACTGTCTAGATTAACACATGTCTCACCGACAATTATGTGTTATATTTTTTAAATGAAGGGCAAAGTTTTGTCAATCTTGTAAATAAAATTCATACACATGTAACTTACAAACCAAACTCTACTGGTAGATAAGTTTTTGCCATAGCTAAAGCAACCTTAATCCTCTCAGCTCGTGCAAGCAAAGCTATGGCGCAATACACAAGAGAAAGCTGCAAGAGAAAGCATCAGGGTCGGGATGGCCCAGCGGTCTAAGGCGGTGGTTCGAGTCGCAATCTACATTTGTACGCTTGGGTTCGTATCCCGCCTCCGACAAATTTTTATTTTTTTTATTTTAATTTTTTTTCTAAAAAATATCAAAATCGGGGGTGCGGCCTATGCGGCGCCGCAGCCTTATTGCCGGCAAATACGGTAGTCGCCGTCCCAGTCTTGGTCTTGGTCTCTGGAGCTCTCAGTCTCCGAAGAGTCTGTCTCGTTTTTGGACCTTGAGATCATTCTAAAGAAACTTATTTTATGTCAAAATCTTTCAGGAGATTCCCAATTTTTGTTTGTTATTGTTACCTATTATTATATGTATTTTTCTTATTGTTATCCATATTATGTATTTAGTTTGCCTCATGTCATTTTCTTTAACTGTTCATTATATACATATTTTGTCAGGCACATTAAACATTCCTCGGAATGAATATGGGGGCATAAGAAATGTTACTATTGTTACTATTAATACAGTCAAACCTGTCTATAGCGACCACCCAAGGGAAACACAAAAAGTGGTCTTTGTAGACAGGTTCCTTTAGTACATGTTTCAACGAGAAACCTTTTTCAAGGGAAACAAAAAATATAGTTTTTACAGAAGGGTGGTCTTTGTAGACAGGTGGTCATTAAAGAGACTGTCTCATTTGCAGGCCAAAAAAATGAAAAAGTTAAATTCCAACTGCATTTGAAAGATAATACTAATTTAGAACTTCCCTAAAAAAGGTGGGGCTTGAAAATGTCTTCAAGTGGGAAAATAACGACTATTAGTTGTAAAATCGACTTTAGGGCTATAGAGCCCAAAAGTAATATTTTCAGACAATTGTACCGAATGGTCATACGTTTTATGCTGCGCAAAGATTCAATCAGTTTAATTTTGGCCATCACAAAAAGTGGGTTATTGATGTAGAGAAATACTCATGTACCCTTTACAACTCTTTTCATGTATGTTATTACCAAAGAAGAAAAAAAGCCAGTCAGTCACTCAATAGTGTCTGACAGTGAAGTTTAGCAAGTAAACGGTTTTCCTTGCATAATTTGAATATGAGGACACTGCTAACGTTTAAATTTCAGAGATAGGACCTACATGACATATTCATAATTCCTGCAAAGTTCTACAGCATTTGAGGTTGGCTGCAAAAGGGACATAGTACCTTTAAAGCAGGTTCGACTGTAATACAAATGATTGTTGTCTCCTGTTGTTGCCCATCAGGTGTGTCCATGATGACAGAGACGTCTAAGGTGATGCCTGGTGAAGCAGCAGCAGCAGCAGCAGCTAGCATGGAGAACAGCAATGCAGAGGAACTCTCAGGGGGTGGTGGCGACAACATGGCACAGAGCGTAAGTCATGGAGTACCGAAGCTGTGACATCATAAATATCTAGTTTTAGAATTTCTCAATTTTTTCTTCTTTTCTAAAAGAACATAACAAATAATGTCCAAATGTCGATAACCAATTGAATATGTTAAGTATTGGCTGAGATATGACCATCTGAATAAATAGATTTCCTATAGGAACTCAGTATTATAGTGCTCTGGTTCATAACATTACGAGCCAGAGCAAAAAAACACACAGCTCCTATAGGAAATCTATTCATTCAGATGGTCATATCTCAACCAATACTTAACCTATTCAATAGGTTTTCGACATTTGGACATTATTTGTTATGCTTTTTCGGAAAATGAAGAAAAAACTTGAGAAATTCTAGAAATAAATTTTTGATGACGTCACACTTCACCACTATACAATCTGATTTCATTTCTCAAAAATGATTTCATTTGCACACCAGATTATTATGATATTTCTATAAATACATGAAATATTTAAGAATAGGGAGGAATTTGTATGTACAGGTCCCCCTTTAGCTGTTGCAACCACTTTATCGAAAGTTTCTATCTTCAATTTAATGTCCAAAGTTTGCATGTTAAGGAATGGATAGAAACTTGACGTGCCTTCTTGCTTCTGTAACTTTTGCATTGTAATGATGTATTTGAAATTTCACTGTGAATTTCAGCCACTATCGGTGATCTTCCAGTCACTGTATGACTAAATTGCATTGGTTGTTGACATTATCTGTGGACTACGGAATACCTAAGTAACACTTGTTAAAAAGATATTTGCAATAATCTTGCTCATTTGGCTAAGATGCATCAGGTTTTTTTGTGCCATGGCAGAAAATATTTTGTTAAACTGCTTCAATCAGTGAAATGATGTTGCTATTTCTGTAGTTTGGCTATGAAGAATCTTCACTGAGATGACGAAACTGATTTCATCTATGATATCTTGCGTTCCTTGTTTAATGTCTAGATCCAGACAGCTCAAGCCGTCTCCCCTCAAAGCGATACCGAGAGTCACACCTCGGAATCCAGCAGGGTACCGCCACAGGATGGCCAAGCGAGGGCGGGCTTCAGCGGCGATGATTTCCGTCCGGCTGCCCTGCAGAGGACAGGCTCAACCTCATCCAGTGCTGCAGCCAGCGTGGCCGGAGAATGGAGACCAACTCCAGAATGGGTACGCAAATTCAAAACAATACCCTTTAAAGCCCCACTGTACTACGTATAGCTACTTGCACCCTCTATATAGCAAACAATGCCTAAGCGGTGCCCATTGGTCCCCCATGATCCCCTTTTTTCTAATACGTTAATTGAGAGCTGATTTGATGAGATAACCACCTGTCAGTGACCTTGCAGGGAGGTCTAATCCCTCCTGAACAAACTAGTGCCGATGGGATTTAAAATGCTGCTGGAAAATGCTGGAATCTCACTCCTTTGGCATTGAACATGTTTTCGTTTTTTTGTCAACATGTAAATACAATCATATATCTCTTAAAGATGCGTCTAATTTTTGCATTTAGTGTCACATACATATTTATTGTTTTCTTCATTTTTAGTATTATAAAAAAAGAAGCTTACATGTACATTCAGATCAGCATAGAAAGTCACGTAGTCAGATGTTTTGTGTATGAGGAAGTGTATAATTGTTTATTTGCAGTAGACTTAACTAATAATATTTGGATGATTTCTGTTATTGCTCTTTGATCGTGAAATAATGGTGGATTGTGCTGAGCAAGCTATCTGTTTAATACAGTCTTCTACTGCTGCTCTGCTGGTTGATAAATAATTTTTATCAACATATAATTTGCTTGAAAGTTTGTTCTTCTTTACACCTGTATGAAGAATTAGAATAAGTGAAGCCCCATTATTTTGTTCTTCAGGTCCAGTCTTGGAAACAGAAGCTACCCCTTCAGACCATTATGCGTCTTCTTCAGGTCTTGGTCCCACAGGTTGAGAAGATATGTATTGACAAGTGAGTATGGTACAAATATTGACTGATTTGGGGGCATGGTTAAAACTATTGCCCTAGGTGGTCTCAAAACTGTACCGTGCCATGAGGCAAAGTAGAGGGGCATCTTTTAAGTCTGATTGTCACCGAGGAACTATTGTTCCAAATGTGACCTGAGGAATAAGCAGCCAATATGAGTTCCTCGATTCACAAATACAGAAATATTTTAAGAAAAATTGTCTGTCAATATTTATTATCGTTGGCTGGCACAGGGCATGCTACTCGGGTGCCATAGTGAGGGTCAAATTACATATTTTCAAATTGAAATGTATATTGTGTAAACTACAACATTGCAACTTGCCATTGTGATCTTAAGTTTGTCCAGATAAACTGCATGTTCTTAAATATACAGTTTTTGTAATATATGTTGTTGTTACCCTCTTTTGGTCAAATGTAAATCTGTTGACTGAATCTTTTCATTTGTTTTGTTTTGTTGTACTTACAGAGGACTAACAGATGAGAGTGAGATCTTGAAGTTCTTGCAGCACGGTACGCTGGTCGGTCTTCTTCCCGTCCCGCACCCGATCCTCATTAGGAAGTATCAGGCTAACAGCGGGACTACCCTCTGGTTCAGAACATACATGTGGGGCGTCATTTACCTCAGGTAGGACAGCTCATAGTTTTCTGTAGTGTTCTATGGTTTACGTGTTCCTAGAGCCCTCCCCAACCGCTCCCCCTCCCCCTTTCCCAACTCTACCTTGTCCTTATCCATCCCATACATAGGGTCCTTCGTTCTCTCTCTTTCTTTCTCTCTCTCTCTTCCCCCCCCCCCTCTCTCCCTCTCTCCCTCTTTCTCACTCTCTTTCTCACTTTATCTTCTATATTCTTTCCTCTCATTCTTACTTCTCTATTTTCTCTCATCCACTTTCTTTCCCATTATCCCCTTTCTTTTCTGTCCTCTCTCCTCTTCCCTCTCTTTTTATCTCACTTTGTTTTCTCCCATGCTCTCATTTTCTTCGGATGACTTTCCTGTATCTCTCTTTCCCACACACATACATACCGGTACACTAATATTTGGTTCAATTTTGGTACCTTTCATCATGAATAACTTACTAATGTTTATAAGTGTGACAAAAGAATATTGGAAGATCTTTTCTCTCCCTCTATCTCTATGTTTCTTTTTCCCCTCTCTCTCTCTCTCTCTCTCTCTCTCTCTCCGAAGTTACATGTTGGAATGGAGTTGTCCTTATAATTTGTTTTTAAATGGGGAATTGTATTTCCTAATGAGATTTAGAAGTATTGTTTTAGGGGACTTGCATACAAATTGAGGTCTTCATGTAGTGTTGAAAGAGATTAGATTGCAATCAAATATTCTGATATGTTCATGTAGTGGATAAATAGTACTGTCAAACATTTTCACCAAAGATCAGTGCAAGGGCTTACATTAAAAAATAAACATCTTTGTTGTCATTTATCTGTCTTGCCTAATCATTTAGTAGTTCAAACATTTCCATATAAATAACACCATGCTGTCAAATTTACTAAAAGTTCACCCATTGGCTAAAAGCTTTCTTGTTAATTGTTGAACATAAATGAGTTAATACATGAGATCAAACAAAGACATTTCACACCAATTGGCTTCTTTTCAGATTCACCAAATTCATGAGTACATGTAGAAGTGGTTTTGGTGTTCATAGATTCAGTGATTATCTTGACGACTGCTTTAGAAAACTTACTCAAAACTTTAGAAAACTTTAAAAAATCAGTGAAGTTGCCAAGTCTCTATTATTGATTCTATACATGTGGTATTGATCTTTATAAGACATTAGATGTGGTAACATTCACTCAGGCCTTACTTCGCCACAAAATATATGGGGTTACCTCTTGGTTTCCGATGGGCTTTGGGTAAGGTTAAGGGTTTTAGTTTGGTTTCCTAATATGGTGTTGGGTCAGGCATTGAATTTAGGAAATTGTTTAGGGAGCAATTTTCGGTGGATCATGTACCTAACATTAACAACCCCCACAGTATGTGTTTTCTTAAATTAGAAATAAATACATTGAAGACAACAACACGATATAGTGATACTAAAATGAGTAAGCTACAACTTGTGAGACATTGGTTAAAACTATTTCCCTCCAGTAATGTATGAGGCGTGAGGTCTCTCTTATTTATCCGTTGATATTCGTTTGCTGACTATCCTTTTTGGTATCGTATTATTTCTCTTTGTCTGAACACTACACCTATAGGTGGACTAGGAAGAGAAAGAAAAAAGTGCTCTATTGCACGTCTTCCCGCAGGCAGGAATACTATTCCAATTTTATTTTCAAATGGGAAGTCCAGCCCACAAAGTTGCTTTGATTTGAAAGAGAAACAGTAAAAGAAACAATGTTTAGAATCAATTTCCTTTAAAAGACATGAATTTATGCAAAATAATGGTACATGCAATGTGTCCATTTCAATACAGATAAATGGCCGATAGTCACATCGCCTGTATCGTAACATTTATAATCAAAGTTTATACATTTTATACAAAGTTTATATAGTTTTAAAAAGTGTCAGAATTTTTTTAAATAATTATTTTGCCCCTCTCCCCCCAACTCCAGAAAATAAATTATATTCTTTTTGTCTCAAACTAATTTATTTTCAACTGATTTGTAGACTTTCTTCAATCAAAGCAATTGTTATGGGGTGGACATACCGATAAATTATTATTCAATTTTTCAGTGTCACTTCAACATCGGTTTGCACAAAAAGGGGATTTTATTTTGTTACAAGATATTACTTCATAAAATACATTTGTTTTTCTATCTGGTCTGTGCATTGACTCATTTTTGTTTCATGGAATAAGAATTCTCATTGTTTCGCATGCTTAAATCTATTTCATACTTCCAATCAAATTCCTCATGTGTACATTACAGGTTTCCTTCATGCTTCAAACATTGTAGTAATGTTTTCTATAAATCAATTCATGGTTTTCTATGGCTGTGATCCTACTGTTTGGGTTTCTTTAGACTGATTTTCCTAGGTACAAGGACAGATCTAGCAATTTCCAAAGGGGGGGGGGAAGGGATAGTCATGTGATTTTTGTTATCAGAGTATGTTGTACAATCAACAGTCTTTAAGTAGTGATGATAACATATTGATGTCATCTATTTACTCTAGCGATATAAGTTATCGATATACATGGTTTCGCAGTTATAATTTGGGTATTTTTTTAATAAATTACCTATTTGCCCCCCTTTCCCTCTCTTTCTCACTCTCTCCCTCTCTATCATGATTTCACCTATTCCATGTTTTCCCTATAATTTCTTCATTCCTCACTTACTCCTTCAAGCATGTCTATGATCCTGATTACAAGATCAGTTTAGATATATCGTGGTATTCTCATGTACCTCTGACCTGTTCACCTCTGACCTGTTCACCTCACCAGTAATTACTCCTCAAAATTCTTTGTTTGTGTGGTTCATGTAATTACATGTATGTATTCTCTGGAGCAAGATGTTCCAAGCTTTCCAAGAACCCTTTTGGTTTAATTTAGTAGAATATACGTGTACACTGTACATTATATATTACGTGTTGGATTTAAAAAAAACTTTTAATCTTCGATAACTTAAAAGTGAAAAATCGTACAAGACTCGGGTTAAAACTTTGTAAAGTTGAATGATGTCAAATTATTTTGGAAAAAGCTTATGACACTTCTCTGATTAACTGATTTTTATTTTTTGTTATAATTATGCCATCGAATTTCAATTCAATTCTTACTCTTTGTCAGAAATTGCAGAATGTGGTATTGAATGCACGATGACTTTTGTTGTATCTTTAACCAGTTATACTGATACACAGGTATCTTGTGGCCTTGATTTTTCAAAAAGTGAAGATCTCTTTATAACTAGGTATAACTGGAGCATGATGCATGCAATAAGGGAGTTTACAGATAGCACATGGTACAAATGACCCCAAATATCCACAGATCTTTTACACATGGAGAAGTTCCACTTTGAGCATCTCAGAATAATAACTGCCACAGTCCTAGATGTGCTTCATGAATACCTTTTGTTTGACCTCTTGAAAAGAATACTTCCACCTGCGTATCATAGAATGTACCATTGGTGCATTAATGAATAATGTTATATAACTTTCATGAGTGCATATCCAGTATTCATCTCTGTGGGTTTTACCATTTTGGTACAAATGACCTTTATCTGCCCATGCGTAGATTGTATCTGTAAACTCCCTTACTCTTTTGTATTTTAGCATCAGGATCTACATTTAATTTTGAGACATGAATTTGGCATTCAAATTTACACATATGTATATAATATTTACGAATGTATATATTTATGTCGTATAAATTGTATTCATAATTCATATTCTTCTACTTTCATGAATGCACATGTCTCAATCCTATGACTTTGGTGTTAGTTTATACTGATATTGACACCATGTATAAGAGTTCACTTTAGGTTATGTCAAAGCAACACCTTTGCATTCCAAATTTGTGTACAATAAATATATTTGATTTCATTCATTTGGAACGATGCATTACCATCTTATTTTTCTGATGCTATTTCACAATGTATTTGCATACATGCTTTGCTAACAACAGGAACTTATTTCATCCAAAGGCTCGTTCAGATAAAAAGCTTCCGCAGTCCTTTTATGTGTAAATGAATTGCAACTGCGCGCAACAAAGGACTTCACTGAGTTCTGTTTAAATAAGACCCCGTTCTCACTCACTTTGAAAGTGGTCTTAGAGCGCGTTTATCTAGGCTTGCCACTAGATATGTACATATCGTACCCCACTATCGAACCCCACTATCATACCCCACTATACGATCGTGATTTGCGGGATGTCGCGTGTATCTACTCTTCACGATTCAATATAAAGGCCTTGTGTCTGCCCAGCTGTTTTGACCCGGGAAGCAGACAGTTTCTCGGAGGTCAAATTCACACACATGCTTGTACACAACACCTGTGTGGTCCTATTTGTATGTGACGTTCAAAACAGCTTTGCGTTTATCGACCTCTCAGAAACGTGATTCTGGCTGTATGTCACATACAAAACGCACCTTTTTGCGTCTTTTGATATGCCCATATCTAAAGACGTTTGAAAAAGGCTTTGCGTTTATCTACTTCTAAATTTGCCTGAAAGACGTTTGAGAAACCTGATTCTAGCCAAAAATTTCCTAGATAAACGCAACCCAAGTTACACCGCTCCAGAGGAACAGGTCTTGAACGGTTTGCGAGCGTTCACATTCCGAGCAGTTTTTATGGCTCAAACCGCTCCACGAGTCAAAGTGGTCTTGTTGCTATGGCAGCTCAGGTCAGCGGGTCAATTTTTTCGCGCGAGGAATACAAACGGTATGTACCGTACTACATGTTTCGCATGGAACGTCACTAGCTCACTTCCGCTCAAAGTACGCTTCCGTTCACATTGCACGTTAGAGCGGTCCAAACCGCTCTTAATAAGACCCGTTCCTCAAGACCACCTCGGAAGGTGGTCTAAGATACAGAAATGTGACACACACTTTTCGTCATCATAAAAAACGCTGGGGTTCTTTTTGGCGTCATATCTGAACAACCGTTTTACTTACTGTCATTTGAATTAACCTGTGTTAGGTAACTCCAATATTAACATTTAAAGTTGACTGGTAATGAATTATACAATCACCATACCTGCCTGTAAAGTACCTGCATGTTTGTTTCAAAGACAAATTAATTTATAGCATTTGACTTTTTATATAAACTACATGTAATTAATCCTTCTAATTCTAGCACCTTACATCATCATCTTTGAAAGGAGAATGCGGATAACCAATTCCTTAATATCTTTTGTATTTATGATGAAAATTTATCTTTTATTGTTGTACACTAGTTGTTAGTGTCTTTATTCTGTGTAAATGTTGTTTCTATCTACCCCCCCCCCCTCTCTCTCTCTCTCTCTCTCTCTCTCTCTCTCTCTCTCACACACACACACTCTCTATTTGTTGTTATATTTCTTTCTTTCGTTCACCCTCTCTCTTTGACCCTCCTCATTTTTGTCCTGCTGTATATACATGTATCTACTCATCCACGTTATTTCTATTAATGCAACAAACATTTATTCTACCATCATGAATGATCATTTACTGCCTTCTGTTTCTCCATACTATTTTCTTTGCATCTGCCCTAATCAGCCCTAATCAGCATTGCATTTGGATTCCTATAAGCACACGGGCCTAGCAAGCATTGCTCCAACTCTCGCAACATCAAATAATACTAACTTTTTGTTCACTACTAATGATACTATCTTCCTTTTTCATTCCATTATCAACAGCACCATGTTTGAATGTACCATCGATCTTCATCGCAATAGCTACATGAATTTAACCATTAATGCTTGTTACATACTGCTTCTTTCTTAATCATCATTTGCATTGCAACTGGACTCTTTACTGAGATGCAACTTCATGACAGCATACATATAGATACACAGCCTGTAACCCAATCATTTTTCATGATGGACATAATTGCAAATACATGTATACTTGTATGTGTCTCGTCTCTCAAATTAGTGGTTAATACAGATGATTGTTGTGTTATGGCATAATTACAAAAGCAAAAATGGGGAATCACAAAGCACTCAACTCTTTATTACACTGTATTACAAAGTCAGCCTGTATATGAAGGTCACTTCAAATTATTTCCTTGGTGACCTTTATAGGCAGGTTTGATTTTTTCATGTAAAAATCACTGGAGCTATATGCACCAAGTATTACTAAGGGAATACAGTCAAACCTGTCTACAGCGACCGCACAAGGGAAACACAAAAAGTGGTCTTTGTAGACAGGTCCCTTTAGTACATGTTTCAATGCGAAACCATTTTCAAGGGAAACAAAAAATGTGGTCTTTGTAGACAGGTGGTCACTAAAGCAGGTTTGACTGTAGTTTGCTATCACTACAGCATGGCATGCCTACTAACTTATTTCTCTTTTGTCTTTAACATCAGATATATGCATGCAGTCTAACCAGAGCTTCATCTGTGCATGACACATCTTTATATCAGGTTCTGAATCCATTCACAATGAGGGGTTTATAATACAAGAGATATGTAGCATGTGGAGTATCTTGTGATGTTATGTTCTTTGTGTTTACTACAGGAACCTGGAGCCACCCATCTGGTACGACACGGCAGTTCGACTGTTTGAAGTCCAGAGAATCAACGAGACGTAATCACAAGATGCTGCAGTCGTCTTCCATCATATTTAAACCCACTGGTACATGTTACTCTCGTGATTTAATTTGAATTATTGTGAACTAACCTCCCTTTTTGTCCTCAAGACTAATATGAAGTGCCGTTTTTTTTTTAATTAATGATTTATTTTTTCCTAAAGGTTTGTTCACATAAGTTGTGGTAAACTGTGATGGTTTTCCAAGTTTTGTTTTGTGTTTGGTTTTTCTCTTCTTTTTTTATAGCATACTGTGCTTCACATTTGTGTACATGCATTTTAGGACGCACCAATAAAATACGACAAAATGTACCTTCATGTACACATGTGACCTTTGTTCCGCACAGCTGTATTGTTTATCCACACTTTCCATTCATTCAAAATAAAATGAATTCAAAAGATTTGTTTAAACACTGCAGTGTATGCTGCATATATGTGAACGAACCCTAACAGTTTAATAGATATATCTGTAGGTGTATGTTTCATTATAATTATGGATATTAAAATATCATTCTGATTTTACTTTAATATCAATTAATTAATGAACGACATCTTGTCTTCTGTGAACGTGAAGGGTATACCGGTAAACTCCATTTTCTTTGTTCAAATTTTGAATATTCAGTTAATGCCTTTCTGCCTCTCAGCAGATGTTTTTAATGTTGACGTGTTTTTGTTTTGGTTATTTTTTCCCGCCATTTGAATTACAAACATATTTAATTTAATGATAACATGCTAACAAAACATCAAACAACATGAGCAGATGTTTGTTTTAATGTTGATGTTAATGTTTTATCAGTGTATTACATCTAACTATAATGTTACTTTTTTTACCAATTGAAATGAAGTCATTTAGAGATGATCCAAGTGGGATTCCAAATCCCAAGAAAATGTAATTGCACCTTTTATGCAGTAACATTTTGTTAAAGTTGTCTGTGCTTTCATGTTTAAGTTTAAGATTAAGATTAGTTCAGTGCAAGAAGGGTCAATGTCTTTTTCTTTATTTATTTGAGTAGCGGGGTGTACCGTAAAACCAGAATCTGTCGTGTGCATGAACTTTGGTGAGTGGGTCAGATTGGCGAAACTTTCCTGCCTCAAATAATTCAATCACACGTTACATTTTTGCAATTAATACGAGCCAAATAATAAGTCATGTATTGTTCATTTTCCTCTACAACAGGAACTTGGACCCACCGATTTGGTACGATACGGACGTGAAACTCTTTGAGATTCAGCGAGTGTGAAGTAACACAGGCATGCACCGCTACTACCAAGTATACAAAGCCTCGCTCTCTCCCTCTCTCTTTCTCTCTCTCTGTCGCTCTTTCTTCTCCATTCTCTCTTTTTTTCTTTTTTTTCTTTAAAAAAAAAATACTTATTCCTATGTATCTTATTTATTTAATAGCTTAAAGTTGATCTTGTAAATGTACATCCTGATCCATGGTTGTAATTGATCGTCATATAAATCACATATTGATGAAAACACTTCTCAGCATATATAAATATATATATGACGTATATATTGTATCAGATTACATTTTACAAAGAAGAGAAAAACCAAGCTGTTAAATATTTCAATTTTTGCTTCCTGTTAGGAGTGTCCTTAAAGCCTTGTTAAAAAGGGAAAGTTATATTTTGATTTATTGAATATCTGTTCATTTGCTAGTCCACTGTTTACCTGATTTTTGTCATAATGGAAAGGAACATGGTCCAATGCCCCAATGACAGAAGAGGAGGTCAACAGGTTTTGTTCCAAAGCCTAAGCTTTCAATGTAGAATATACACCCATACCATGGAAAATACAGAGAATTTTGAATGTTTTTGTGAACTGTAGACTTTGGTTTTCTCCTGAACCCCTCAAAAAGTTACACTCTGTTTGCAATGCAATGATTTGTGTTGCAAGTTAAATTAATCAAAATAAATTAAAGCATATCATTTCTTTAAAGTCAATTTTACCAAATCAATATCGTTGTGAGCAAGACGTGTTCTGGTATATGTATGACACTAAACACAAACAAACATTATTTTCTTAGTGGAATATGATTGAGGGATCAGGAAACAGAGAAAGTGGCCATTGTACACAAGTGGCCTTTCTGGAGGGAGCCAAAATGCATGGCCACTGTAGACAGGTGGCCTTTATAAAGAGGTGGCCACTAACACAGGGTTGATTGTAGTGTGTACAAATCATATTTTACTGACACGTGTATGACACTAAACGCAAACATTATTCTCTTAGGAGAATATATGTGTGCGGGATCCATTACATGTAACTTGAGAAGAATAAAGGAAGTTTAATACCTTCCAGCAACCAGTGATATGTAACTACAGGCATTGATAACACATTCAAGTACCTTTCGATTAATCATAATGTGCATTCAGCAATCAGCATAAGTGCACTTGTTCACATAGTGGGATAGGATGGCACCGTATGTTGACTCTGTATGTATTTCAAAGCACTCAGTCGGCTTAAAGTGTACCAGCCAGCAAAAAATATTGTAATCAGCACGTTAAGGGCTTCTTCATTTTCCAATGTTACCTCTGTAAAGAGATGTATTGCAAGTTTAAATACACTCGCAATTAACATAGAAGCAACTTGTGAGTAGACCAGTCGATATACTCAGACACGCTCTCATAAAAAATAAAGTTATCCCTAAAATCTGTTTTCAGCAAACCATGCGTTCAGATTTAAAATTCTTGAAAGATTTTGATTTATGAAACATGATTCTCAACTTTTTGGCACCTTAATGGGTTAAAGAGCTTTTAGATTTCCTTAAGTAGTTCCTTGAATTACATTATTCATTGAGAAAGGTCTGTATATGTTTTTCTCTTCTTGAATATTAAACGCTGAATATAGATGCATTTGATATAACCTATAACACCATATGCATGTGTGAGATGCGCTATTGTATATCTGCATCTATTTGACCAAACGAAGAAAGAGGAAGTTGACACAATATGCAAGTCAACCACGACCTTCAACAACATTCTTTATTCTTCACTGTACATGTATATAATGTTGTATATACCATATGCATTGTGGTCGATACTGAATGTCACGGTATAGTTCAATTCTGATCATGTGACCATGTGTCTATAGTTTTATAGCTTTATTGATATCTACATGTAGTCCAAACTGTGGGTGCAGATTTTTTTTCTTTGTGAGATTGGAAGTGTCGCGGTATAGTGGTTCAGCCACTTCACTCTCGATCGAAAGGTTGAGGGTTCAAATCCCAGACTGTCTGGCACTGCCGTCCTTTGTCAAGGCATTTGCCACTCTCTACCCAGGTGTAAATGGGTATCTGGTAATTGCTGGGGGATGATATCCCAGGGCCCTTACGGAGAACAGCATTGGTGCTGATGAGGCTTCCCAGGTTGTTGTTTTTTTTTTCAAATGATCTTTTATTTGGTACTCAAAACAATATGATATGATATAATACAGAGTTGTGAGATGATTAATACAGAAAACATTATAACAGCTTTCTATAGGATAAAATATTGCAAAGGAAATCAATATGTTCAGGGCTCAATTAATTAGATAAGCCTACTTCGGTAGACACAAGGATCCCCCGCACCGCGCTCCAAACACTGAAAAGGGAAAGAATACACAAAAGACAGAAACCGCTGAGGCAGCGCTTCCCAGGGTCAACATAATTAGTATAACACCTTTTGTTAAGGGTAGTGTAGTGTGTAGCATAATATTTAGGCGTTTTTGTCACAACATGTTGGTTGTTTTTGGTACTCCTTATATTTTACATATAGGTTTTTTCATAAAGGAGGGCAAGGATTAACACGTATGAGAAGGGTTGCAGGTTGATTAAAGAGGAATATATCGGGGGAAATTATGAGAGGATCGGTGCCAGGATTGGAAAATCTAACCGCTCTTTGAAGCAAAACATTTATGTAGTCTATGATATGTGTGGCTCTTTTGTCAATGAGGTGGCTTTTGAAATTGATTGATGAAAAGCCTTTTCAGACTGGCCATTGTGATTGCAAATGATTAAAACTATTTGCAAGCTTGGCAAGGTTCCAACAAAAGAAACAGAAATTGAAACCGAGATTGAATGCATGCAATGATTCATCATACAAGATACAAACATGGAGTGTATCATACACTGTACATATATCAGTATTTTGAAAATTTGATTATGATGATGATTACTAATACAACCATATTTTGGTGCTGTTATCTGTCTAGTTATAATTTGCTTTACGTAACATCCCCCCCCCTCCCCCCCCCCCCCTATTAAAAAAAAAAAAAAATCTCAACATTTGTTGTGTTCATGAATGAATGCACACTCCAATAAATCGTATTTGCAGATCTTTTTATACATCCACCACCAAAGGTGGAGCCTGAGGCATTATTCTTAGCTGTACTGTTTGGCAGCATGTATGCATAACATACATGCGCCAAACAGTGTTGTCATAACAAGTGGTTTGAATTTTGTTTCGACAAAGAGACATATATTACAATGATCATTTTGAGGTATGTTAATGGAGGTCTTCTTGAGTTGAGATGACATGGAAAAAGTATTTTTTTAAAGAATTGAATAAAAATTGTATGTCCAGCTGTAATACCTCTTTGGTTTCAATTACACATGTTTTCATGTGACAGTTCTTGTAATTGGTTATAATGAATTTATGTGATTTTATCAAATTTGCAAGTGAACAAGCAAGATTGCTTGGAAATAATATCAAAATCAGTTTTCTTTTTTTAGATCCAATTTTACCCTTTTACCCGATGTTCAGAGAAGATCTTTGTCTTTTTTACATAATCGATAGGGTCTATACTTTATCAAGGATGATAAATGCCAAGATAATTATTATTTTTGTAAATGACTTTTAAAAGTATTAGTCTTTGTGTCATTTACTAAATATAATATATGATATTTGCACCTACACCCTCTCCCTCTGACCTTAGAAACAGAGATAATTGAAGAGCAGGGGCAAACAATTTCTCTGGAAAATTTTGATTATTTGGACGTGGTTTTACATAGAGACTAGCTGAATGAGGGCAGTATACATGTTTCTTGCTGTTCTCACAAGATTAAAGAAAGAATGCAAATTTGTAAGTTAACAACTTTGGAATCACTGATTAATCCTTATCACAATTTAATTATAGAATCTGGCAGCTGTGTTTTATTTTTGAAGTACCATATTGTGGTGTGACAACTACTAAATCATTTTAAAGAAGTCCCAAGTTTCTGTCAAAGACATCAATGAAATGAGATTGTAAATTAGTTGAATTAATTAGAGGAGAAATGGGACAATTGGTACTTACATACTCTTAATATTTCTATCAATCTCTCAGACTTTTTCCCACAAGAAAGTAATGTAATCTTCATAAAGAGAAATGCATACCCATCTACTGGAGAAGAATTGTAGAGCGATGATCGCAATAGTAAAGTTTCCTCATGTTAACAACATTCCACTATCTGTATATTAGCTGAAAATATATGTGTCAAAGAATTTGTTTCTTCACTTAATTTAATTTTTTTTTCTCACAATTACCAAAAATGGGCTTGATTGTATATGGTTAACTAAGTATTATTATGATATTTCAAGTGTAATTTAAATTTGAAGTTTTGCTTAAATTGTAGAGTTCCGTTTTTAATATTTACTTTTATCCTGCATTAGGCATATTCATATGTAACTTCTTTTATTTGTGCTGTTATTTAGTTTGTTGTGTTTTATTCTGTGTACACTGTACATATGCTAGTTTATAATAATATATTTATTCTTAACACTGCCTTTTGGTTGTATAGGTATTGCTTTATCTATCTAAGTTTGATTTATTTACTATTGAAAGACTTCTTTTTCTGTGTTTGGCGTCTATTTGCATATGGCTACAACTATCTGTACAAAAGTTAACCAGGTGCAATACTTTTATTTGATATTCATCTATTCTATGTATAACTGTTTTGCTGTTGATTTGTATATGTTGTCAGTAGTGATAAACATCATGTTTATCAAGCTCAAATTTAGCCTGTTGTAGGCTGGAACTATGTTCTGTGTAAATGGGCTAGGGAGATTTGTCGTACTGGGATATAAGGCTTATTTTTAATTAAGCATAAGGGGCTGTAATGATTGTGATCATTGGTTTGTTAGGAGGATATCTTATACCTGGAAAATAACAAAAAACTTAGTAAAGGAAATTTCATGTGAAATTGATATATTGTAGGCATTAAATATGCAATTAATTTGTTCTATAAGCCTTGCAAAGATGCTCAGTTTTTGGTCTTATGATTGCTAGCATGAGTTTTGTATTATAATTTCCTAATCTTTAATTTTCATCATATCTGGTTTTGTTAACTTTTGATGACAATTTTCCAACCAACTGTATGTTTCACTCGCCCTCTTGCATAAGTGATAATCTCCCAAGGATATTCACATTGATGTGAATGCATATCTTCCTTTTCAGGTCTTGGTTCTTTTTATTTTCCGTTGCGTTTGAACTTTGACCTCTTTGAAAGGGAATGATAGGTCATGTCAGATATCAGGGTGGTTTTATTTATTTGTGGAATGCTATGGTTCTCCCATTTCACCAAACGGTTTGTCTACAGTATTACTACATACCCCCATTTATTTGATGATGTAAATCAAACCGATATTGTATAAAACAGCATTCATGTATTTAAAAAAAATGTATTGTAATTGTTTTAAGTTGATGTCCTAATATTGCAGTGTTAATACATGTAGACACATAAATATACAAAGATAAAGGTTATTAGAATTAACTTGACTAATAAAAAAAAATATTGCAACTAGCCATGTATTCTGGTCGTGAATGATTTCAGTGTAGTTGAATGTATATAGTTTGTGAGGCTATGATTCTATGAGTTATACTGTGTACGTATACTTTCAGTTTTGTTTCTCTAAGGACTTAAACATTATTATACACAATGACATGTCCACTGTATA